CACACACACACACACACACCCACACACACACACACACACACACACACACACACACACACACACAGGTTTAAATTCACAAGGACTCACACTTGGGTGCACACACACACACTGTAACCTCCCATGAGGACCACAAGGACATCCAAAGCAAGTGAGCACCGGTGGAGGTTTGACAGAAACAAGGGGAGAGTGCTCAACCTCCCAACTTTACTTCCATCCATCCTTCCATTTATCCAACATTACAGCACTGGATGCATGCCATCAGCCATCAGTGGGTACAATCATCACAGACAAATATGGATTTCCTTTTGCAATTCCCTGCACTCTAAATGGAAAGAGAATATATTGGATAAGGATAAATCAGAACCACATGAAGTCTGTCATTCCCAAAACATTGTGTATTCATGTTGGGAAAATATTGCAACCTGATGTTCTTGGCTCTGCGCTTCAGTAATAACGGATGTATCTTGTTTAGGAAAGAAGCTTTTCAAACCCAGATGTCCAGACTGCACAGAGCTACAAATAAACCATAACAATTTACTTTACCGCCGCCGAACTCATCGCCGCACTGGGGCGAAGAGAGCAGCCAAGAAGCATCATCGTCATCAAACAAAGCTATTGTGTCAGCGGGGGCAGAGCAGTCAGCTCATCCACTCTGTATCACTATATGCAACATGCTTAAGTGGGCCGAGCCCAGGGGCTTTTTGCACAATATTTTCCTCGAGAACATAAGAGAAGAAGGGGGGGAGGAAAGATAAATTGAGTTTAGATGACGATGCACCATTCATTTTACGCCCTCCTCCCCCTCCAGGCACGGAATAAGGAAAGATGAGAAAAAGGAATAGAGGCAGCAAGAATATTTGACTGTAAAATGCTGCACTCACACTGTGCCCCCTGTGGCACGGGAACGAGAGAGAGATGGGGGAGGGTAAAAATGGATGGATGGAGGATGAGGGGGAGATAGAGTGAGGTGTGATGTGCGGTGACCCGAGCTCTTCGGTGACGCCATAAAGTTGAGGGCACGCTTCATCGGCTTTGAGTGAGGAGAGAGATGTAAGCGGTGTTTGGCCACCGGCTAGTGGCGGGCCAGAGGTCAGCAAATACACATAACGCATCGTCAGCACTACAGAGGGTCACGCAGGTCACGGTTACATAACTGGGTCTGGATCACACAGCACACTTCTGTTTACATTCATATTCTGGTGCATGTTATCACTATAAGAGTGCATTCACACCACAGCAGGAATGTTAATGTCATTCTGTATTCTGTTTGCACCAATGTTGTTGCGTAATTTCTTTGCATTGTGAGCCTATAGCTGTATAGATCATACAGACTGGGGAAACAGCTAGCTTGAAGCAATGGAGTTAACACAGGGTAACAGGGTTAGAAATGAAATGCAGAAAACATAGTTCATTGATTCATTGATTACCTGCAGGTACAAGCAGGCAGGCTACACAGTAGCTCCAAAGCAAAACAAACAGCAAGGTTATCCTAGCTGCTATGCTGCTTTGATGGTATGACAGAGAATGGATGGTACCGGTGCTGGTATATGAACTGAGAGGCTGATGAGGGAATGAGACGCAGATGAGCAGGGTATATTCAGGGCTAATGAGGAAAGACAAAACAGGTGTGCAGAGTGGTGGTGCAGTCGGAAAAAAAGGAGGGAAAGTACGATGGCACCTAGTGGAAGGATGGAAAATGGCAGAAAAGAGGCTGGCAGACTTTGGTGTGGCCTGGCTCTGTCCAAAAGTAACAAATCTGCCTGCTTTCACATCTAATACTAAACACTGATCAATAGAGTTATCGTGTGTTAAGCTAAGCTGATTGTAGCTTCATATTTAATGTTCCTTGGGACCCTGACCCAATTAAATGTAACCCATTATTAAGCTAATTTGTTTTTGGCGATATGCACCACTAAAGGACAGTAATCTACAATGAAAAAGACTGCAATTACAATTTTTGTATGCAGCAGAAACAAGGTCAGAACAAAACATTGACATAGATATGGTCACCTTTTAAAATGATGGATTGCATACATGTTAGCAAACAGTTGTTTATGTACGCATCCGGCAGAAACATTGTAATTTATTTAGGTGTTTCTGTTCACATGGAGAATGAAAATCGGTCATTCTTTTGGCTCTGTTTTTGGTCTCTACCCACATCTGAGGGAGATATCTCGCTCTTTAGCTGCTCAAAGCTTCACTGTGTTCACAAGGTTATTACTAACTAATTTGTGATTATGTGGGTAAAATGGACACGGTGTTCAGACCCCCATCACCCCAGCCACAAACTGTTCTGTCTGCTGTCGTCTGGAAGGCGGTACCGCAGCATCCGGACTAAAACCACCAGACTCAGGGACAGTTTCATCCCACAGGCCAGAAGACTATTAAACACCTGAACTTTTGAAACAACATCCATAACATTCATCTGGCTGCTACTTAGAAATTATTGATCTAACATATCATATTCCAATGACTTGTATATAGACTCTTATTGCACTATTTCACTATTTTACTATTTTTATTTTTGTATTTACTTGCACTATTTTTTCTGTTTTTCTTGTGTTTATTGGAGGAGCCTGTGACCTAAGATTTTCATCGTCATAATTACACTGTAGCTATGCACGTATGACTAATAAAAGCCTTGAACCTTGAACCTTGAATAATGCAACCGTATTGCAGCATAATCTAATTTGAATGTTTCCAGGCAGTTGATGCTAAAAGTGGTGAAGAGGTTATTTCCAGGCAAGCATACAATACCACAAATAAGAAGAGTAATATTTCCGATAATAATAAAACCTTTCTCAATTAAAGTATTTCAATCTTTCAAGGGAATTCATCTGGAAATCAAGGTTCAAGGTTCAAGGTTCTTTATTGTCAATCTGACATAGCTACAGAGTAATTATGTAGTTGAACATTTTATGTCACAGGCTTCTCCAACAATGCAACATAATAACATAATAACAATAAGAGCAAGAGCAATACAAAAAGAAAAATAGTTATAAAATAAAGTGATGATGTGGAATAGTGCAGTACAAGTCTATATACAAGTTATTGGAATGATATATATTTATTAGGTATTTGATACATAATACTGAGTAGCAGATGAATGTTTTGAATCAGCTACCACTTTTAGCGTTGTCGTATAATTTCCTGTTGTTTTTTAACTTTAAAAATGAGTCTGCACTTACCTTGTATACTTCGACAGGAAATGGTATCTGTTATTTGAAATCATGAGTCACACATTCATATTTCCAGAAAACTGTCTTGGAAATGATGAAAACATCAAGAGAAAGTCAGTTGTGTTTCTCCTAACTTAATCTTGAATTATCTTTATTGAGTCACAAGGTTGTCCAGGCCATTAAACAAGCAGCTTTATTTGCTTAGAGTCTGGCACTGTGCTGCAAGTAAACCAAATCAAACAGTAATTCAACGGAGTGAGCTGCTAATGTTTGGAGCAAGAGAGCTAAGGTTGTCAGGTATCATCCCTGCATGACTTAGCAGAAAGTGAGATGTAGAGAGTTTGTGGAGCTGTCAGACAGCTAGGTGTGTACAGAGAGGGCCTCAAAGGCACAAAGTGGGGACACAGGTGGAGCACAGGGAGCCCTGAAGTGTCTCATTGAAGGTGAAGGGAACATTGAAAAAGGAGTAGGACTAGGAGGAGGAGGAGGGAGAGACGCAAATAAAGATGTTATCACTTCCATCTCCTCCTCCGTGTTGGTGTGAAGGGAGTCGGTGAAAACAGATGACCTACATTTTCTTTGAGATAGACTCCAGCAGCGAAGCCTCCCCTGATCCAGAAGAGACAGAGTGATGTATGGAAAAAGGGAGAAACACAAAGAGATTCTGAGGGAGATGACATAGGAAGTCAGAAACAGGAAGACTTCCAGTTTGACAAGGCAGACATGAAACGTGGCGACGCAGGCAGACAAAAGGAAACAGGGATAGTTTGACGGTAATCCTCTTCCTTCCTTTCCCTCTTGAGTAGTTATATAAAACACATCTAGAATTCTGTTCCATGCACATCAAAGAGCCTGAACCGCTTTGCAATCTGCATATATGATGCGTCCAGGGAACAGCAGGAGGTGTGTGTGTTTCTGGGAGGATCTTTTGAGTAAAAAATAAGCTTCTTTGGAGAGTATTTAGATAGCTTTGTGTGTAGATGAGCCTCTTGGATCTGTCTTCAAACAACAATTGCATTTTTTCTCACTACATTACTCATTCAAAACAAAGAACTTCAATTGTTTTTTCAATTGGCTTGATAATGTACATTAAATAACAACAGTGGTGTCATGCAGAGGTCTTAAGAAAAAAGATCTGCCTCTGGTGAGTCAAGCTTGGCAATACTGTCAGTGAGATATTTTGGCTGTAAATGAAGTCATCTTACTGGAAATGAAAGCCTAATAGTTCAAATAATTCAGACATCATTTTCTGATCCACCACTGCCACCTGCTGGAGACAAAATGCACCTCAGAGGAGAATGATGGGGGGTGCTGCTAATGCAAGAATATTTGCTTAATACTGTGTTATCTCAACATTTTCTTACAAAACATTTTCCAGTCAGATAATAGATAATCAGAGTGTAAAATTGATTTTCCTCATAATTTTGTTCTGCAAATGTTTAAGATATTTTAGTTAAATGTCTAAAAGCCCATGTACTCGCCTGGAACACCACCACTAGTGTGCCCTTGAGTAAGGCACTTAGCCCTCAGTTACTCCAGGGAGAATGTCCCTGTAATTGGTATTTGTAAGTCGCTTTGGATAAAAGCGTCAGCTAAATGAAATGTAATGTAATGTAATACTCCTTTTCCCTCTTTGCAAATATTCTAACTTCTGAAAACAAAAGCAAACAAATTGTGTCACGAATCCTGCTTGTACAAAAGCTTCTCAAAATAATATTATATGTTGTGGCTGAAACATTTCCATTGAAAGTGAAAACCACCTCATAGTGTGAAACTCTTTCCAAACAGCAAGTGAAGCAAAGATAAGAAAACACATTTTTGACTATAGGGGAACTTTAATATTCATGTATTGCAGGTGAAACGTGATAATATGAGGCAGGTTTGATTGAAGTCTTTTTCATCATAGGTAGGACAACATTTACAATACAATGGAATTAACGTCGTGCAGGAGGAACAAAGCAACAATGCCATTCAGCTTGTTTCTGACATGAAGCAACAACAGTCTCTTATATCATAATAATAATAATAATAATAATAATAATAATAATAATAATCAGAAACAAGCTGTGTGAAAGTCACCATAGCCTACTTCATCACATGCATTGCACCAATAAACCATCCAGCCATGTCAAAAGGAAATTAGTGTAGGCCTATAAGGTATAGCATTACAAGAAATATAATCCATGAATTATGGTCATGTTAAAGATACATGGAGGTAATGTCAAACCTGAGCAACCAGTGTTAGCCCAGCTTAGCTTTGCACAACACCGAAAGGGCTAACAGCTAGCTGCAGATAGCAGAGATTGGCTTGAAATCGTAAAATAGAGTTTTTACACATGATTGGTTTTGTGTGGGTATTACAAGTGAAAAGATAGCCTATATTGTATAAAGTGTTGATAGGTAGCTATCGATCAAATTAAGCTAGCTGTTTCCCTGTTTCCAGTGTTTCAGTCTAAGCTAAGCTACTAAGCTACTTGGCTACAGAGTGCCCTTGAGCCGCTTTAACTGTCAGTAAGAAAGCAGATCATTTAACCCATAAGAACCCCATTTCTACTTTTGGGAAAATGAAGGGGAACATAATTTAGACTAAATGGACCACATGGAACATTCTGACAAGTAGGCCCCCCTAGTGTCAAATATCTGAAATTTGCAGTTGAAATTTGACATATAGGCCTATGTCACATTGGGCTTTAATGGTAACTCTTATGTATAACTTCATTAATGAGCATGATTTTTTGTTTAAATTAGTTTGAACATTCTTTGAATTGAAGAATAAAGAATATATTAACTAAATATAATTGAATCAGCTAAATTAACTGAGCAGATCATAATAATATCTCTAACTGTGCATATATGTCACGCAGGGTTTACTGTGAAAGTTTAGGGTTAAAGTCCCGATGTGACATCAGTGTCACAGCAATGTTTGTCTCATTTGTTTCATATCAATTTAATCAAGAAATGTTTCCACAACAGGTTAAATGTAATAAAGGACATGTTATGTAAGCATTTTAATTCTTAAATGGCTTGAATTTGACCTTTAGCAACAAGCAAAAAAGCTTTGGAAATGATGGTGTTATTCGGGCACATGGACATCTTGGACATGTTGTTTTGGGAACACAAAATCAAATGACCTGGACCATGACCCACCAGACTGTTCATGGTGTGTCACTTATGGACTTCATGAGATCAAATAAAGGCTAAGTGTATAAGGAACTTTCCAGAACATTTAAAGGTCATGTGACACCTGTGTCACGGTGGGTCCTTATGGGTTAAATCTAATATGTCAAAACGATTTTTCACAATAATAAAGAAAATATAAAATGCTACCATGTTTAGCCTTTACTCATTGTGCGTTTAAATCTCTTTTCTCGAAAGTGTAGAGAGGTGGACAGAAAGTCTTTAAACCTAACTGTACAAAAGCATACACAATGAGTGTGTATCAAACATTATTTGTGTATTTAAATATCAGGCTTGTCAATACGGTATATTGTGACATCCCTAATTTCAGTTACATTTTCCTTCATGTACAGATTTTGACTTCAATCAAGGGTGTGTCTGATGGAAGTACAATCAGTTCTCTTTCAAACAAAGAGCAATCAGTGTTAAACAACTCAATCAAGTTTAATCCCGTTGTTTCCCCTCCTGAAGTATTTACGGTCTGTAATGATTCATGAGACCAAACAAGTCATCAAGTGTTCAACGTGCAATCAGTTCTCTCTCGTCTTTGCTCATTTCCTTCTCTTATGACTGTCTCATAAACATTTCCTTATGATGTCTCCTTCTACCATTAACAGTGAGATGCGTTTATGTGAAATGCCAAACAATAATTACTTATATAATAATAACATTTAGTAAAAAACAAGTGATTGCACCATAATGAATCAAGTGTGTCTCACACCATGAATGTCTTGCTGCTCAAATATCTGCCACCCCTGCTTTTGTGTCCCATGCTGGAGCTTTTCCTACTCGTGTTGCTCCTCACTGTTCCTCCTTTATGCCTCATGCTGCCGCGCAGGCTCTCCGACACGGTCTTTTCTTCTTTCTCAAAGTTGTCATGGTTCTGGTTCTCCGGGGTCAGGGGAGGCGGGCGTGAGCAGCAGAACCACTTGATGGAGCCGTAGAACATTTCTACAAAGCTGGAAATCGCTGATATCAACCCTATGGCAAAGTAGAAGCAGAGGAAGATGGTTTTCTCTGCAGGGCGGGAGGTGAAGCAGTCCACAGTGTAGGGGCAGGGGAAGCGGCTACATGGGAACTGGGCCTCCACCTTGAATCCATACAGCATCCACTGGCCCACCAAAAAGCCAATTTCTGCCAACATGCGGAAGCCCACGTTGATCATGTAAAGCCCCCTTAAACGGAGCTCTTCTCTGTAGACTTGGGTCTTATTTTGGCTGGTCCTCTTGTTGTTGTGATGCATGGCATACATGAGGAAAACCAGGGAAGGGGTGGCGATGAGGACGATGTGAAACACCCAGAATCTGTACTGGGAGATGGGGAAGGCCATGTCGTAGCACACCTGTTTGCAGCCGGGCTGGAGGGTGTTGCAGGCAAACTCCTCTTGCTCGTCGTCAAACAGGTCACTGGCTACTGTTCCCAGGATCAGAATTCTAAAAACAAGCATCAACAAGAGCCAGAAACGTCCAAGCATCGGCGAGTGGACCTGGAGGCTATCAAAGAGACCACCGAGGAAGCCCCATTCCCCCATGATTGCAGCGCTGTCTTGGGTATGGCTTCTTGAAAGTCTGGAGATTTATCCAACAGTCCTTCTCAGAGCAAAACCTGTGTGGTTAAAGAAAGAAACTGAAGAGCATCTTATTACCCCCAATTCACAGCTCATTCTGAAACTAATCTAATCAATCTAAAGGTCAAAGGTCGGTCTAGGCAATGTGCAAAAAGCTGTGATAGGATTCAACGTTGAATAACCTGAAACCATAAAAGAAACATGATTATACCTCTTGCAATCACTGCAATTTAGGCAGTGATTATAAGAAATAAAACAATAAAATAGGTCTCGGGTAAACACTCCTTAGGTTTCCCTTTCAGTTTTTGTTTCATACCTTATCTTAAAGACATTGTAAAAGAGTTGAAACCACATGACATCAGTGAAGTACAATTAGTACTTTCCACACATGTTACCTTTACTTTTAGAGAACAACAGTTAAGACTAGTCGAACATTTTACTCAGAAGAAGCATTAAGAACAAAGCAAATGGATGACAACATGTTAGGTCTAATGGATTAACCTAATGCAGAGATATGAGAAACCTACCCTTTCTGATAATCCTTTAAAATCCTATTTCAGCTTTTCTTGTTTGTCTTGTCCCACTTGGATATGTCCTCAGATAAAAAAGCATATCCTGTGTCCAAACACGCAATATGCTCTCGCGAACACAGGCACATATTCCTCACTTGCCCCGAATGGCCTGTTGTTGGAGTATGCCGGTATAATAATTTGAGAGGGCGGTTACAGTTAAGGAAATGCCTGCTACGTCCTAATCTGTGACCATCAAGAGTCCCAGACAGGAGTGATGTTTACCCAAGAAAGGAAAAGTCTTGATGAGCATCTCAAAGAGCTTCCTAAATGGCAGGAAGAACTGTACCAACAGTTTCCCCGGCCAAATTAGACAACATGCAACTCTTGAAAAGCAACCTTTTGATTCATTTTACATGATGTACTTCATCCAGTTAGCAGTAAATACACATGCCAATCTATATTGAGCTTAAAGATCAAGATTTTAACTCTAATGTATTGAAATACAATTATTGTTTCCTATTGTTTATATGACTTTATTTGACTAGATAAGAAAAAAATACAACTGTAAATGAAGTTTCTTTAAAAGCTAATTCCTCTATCTCCTATAGATTTGGATCGAATGGTTCCTACCTATCCAAATATTTCAATAACCTGAAACCTGTTGTTCTCTTTAAAGGACAGAGGTGCTAACAAAGGCCCAAGTGTATAACAGTGTAGCAAGATGTATGATTACCTAGAAGAGAAGCATGACACACTGTTTTAGGCATTTGATAAGCTATAAGACAACGACTAACTTGATGATTCAGCCTCTAGGGAGATAGGCATGATCATTTCTGACGTGGGCCTTAGCTAATCTGAACAAAACATTGTATCCTGCTTTAAATCGGTACTTCTCCATCTTGTGACGGTGTAACCCCGTACCACTTTACAATAAGACTACCCTTATAAAGGATTCATAAAGGGTTTATAATTAGGTTATTAATTAGGTTGTAAACACTTTATTAATCATTAAGAACCATTTATAAACCAGTTCTAACAGTTTTCATACATCAACACAGGCTCACTATTTGGCAAGATGACTAAGCCTTATATTGGCTACGCAGCGAGAATCAACTCAGTGAGCAAAAGATACCAAGGATGCTGGCTGATGAAGAACACGAAGTAAGCTAGGTAGCCAATATAAGGCTTAGCAGTACAGATAAATGTGGGCTCACTATTTGGCAAGCAACCGGCAAGCACAGTTGCCCTGTTTATCTCATGTCTTATAAAAGCTTATTAATGATTTATAAAGTGTTCACAACCAAATTAATAAATGAATGACAAACTATTGGTAAACCGTTTATAAGGGTAGTCTTATTGTAAAGTGGTACCCACCCTCTCTTTATAAGCAAGTGAAGGACACTGTTCAGGAACTAGTTGTACCAAATGTTTTGTATGTGATGACTACTTCCATTCTTGCAAGAATAAATACATGTATCCTGTTTTGAGGCTCAGCCACTTCAGACTCTATGCATTACATGAATGCACACTGTTTTTTATTTTATTACTGCCGATTTTTGTATTCCATTTTATTTCTATGTAAATACTGCTATACTTGTTATTATCTTTTATATTTTTTTTAATGTTATCTGGGTATTTTTTTTTTATAAATGGTGTTTTTCTTTTATGTATGCATCATGACATCAAGTCAAATTCCTCGTACGCGTCAACCTACCTGGTAATAAACCTGTTTCTGATTCTGATGCCGGTTAGAAGTGAGATTTTTCTAACCCAGGGTATATGCAGGAATCCTGAAGTCAAATGTAATACCTTTTAAGACCCTTTCCATACATTTTAAGACCTCATCGCCACTTGGAGTTTTAACCGGTTACATTGGCGACACACTTTACCTCACATTGACTACATACAGTATTGATTGCCCTTCCTCCTTATCTTCCAACCATTTGGACGCAGACTTGCATTTCCCCATAACGATGTTGTTTAACAACCGGCGTAAACGGGCATTCGCGCGCTATCAAGCAGTGAGCGTGCTATGTCCTGTTCAGATGACGTCAAACCCAACGGGATGCCATAAATAAACTACACAGAATCACACTACACACCTACGCAATGATTACATTCAGGCACACTGTAGAATACAACCTCTTTGGACAATTTATATACTTATTGAAAACAAGCTACAGAATGTAATACCTTGGAAAATGCCGTTTAATAGCCTTCATTTTCGCTAAATTGATTTATCAACCTTTTAATACTTTTTAAGACCCTGCGGACACCCTCCCACTAAATCTACCCTTCTATCATCCTTTCACTTCCTTATGACATTCCAACATAGAACACCTCATTTGTACAGACACATAAGTCTGTTAGCAAAGAAGAAACAACACCAAGCAAAATGAACAATCAATACAAAACAAATACAATACAAAAAAAACTTTATTTTTCTAAATGTAAAAAGAACAGCCATTGAAATATTTACAGGACAAGACAACAAACAAAGGACTGGATTACGAAAAGACATTAAAAAAAGTAAGATTTAAGAAAAGACTTTCATACAAGTCCAATGCAGTCATACGAGTACGCTTTTTTTTGTTTCTTTTTTAAATTCTTTGACAGGGTGACCATTTTTTGCTACAATAACGGTGATAATATGTTTTAGGGACTGCAGGTCTTTTTACGCCAAAAGCAATCCTTCAAGTGATAAAATACACATTTTAATCACACGGCATAAACAGTTTAACTAAGAGCCTAACTTGATTCCGAGTCCGAGTCCAGTTTGTAGATGACAGCTTTGCGAGCACGTGCGGGCACCTCTCGCACTGCCGTGTCAACGGGAGCCACTGCTTCCTGGTCTGAAATATTGAAGCTCTCGTCCTCGTCCCACCTTTTGGTTTTCTGCAAGAAAAGAGAAAATATTCAGCTTTAATTAAAATATGCCATTCGGGAGCCCAATCCCAACTCCACCAGTCTAACATTAAAGGGGCCCTATTCTGCTAATTTTGTGGTTCATCTTTGTATGTAGTGTCTCTACTGGGACATGTCTCCATGCTTTAATGTTCAAAAAGCTCTTTATTGTTCTCATACTGCCTGGGCTGCAGCACCTCTTTTCACCCTCCGTCTGAAACCAGAGCCCAGTCTGCTCTGATTGGTTAGCTGGCCGGCTCTGTTGTGATTGGTTAGAGATGTCCCGCGCCTTTGCCTATCACGTACAATGTGTTGGAGCGCTAGCCAATAGGAGCTAAAGTATTACATAGTGATGTCACATGTTACGGAAGAAGTAAAGGAGTCCACTGGAGAAAATGTTTAACTATTAAATCAAACAAATCAATGAATAGTTCGAAAAGTGTCAAAGAAGACCTAAAAGAACTAATGAATGAATAAAGATACATCAGGACTTATGATCCATTAACCCCTAATGACCTTTCAGAGTAGGAACTGACCTTGCTGGTAGTTTTTTTAGCCTTCAGACGTGACATGAGGTCGCCCGAGCTGTCGGAGTCGTCGCTAAGGACCTGTTTCCTCTTGGCAACGAGCTTGGGCTTCGCCTTTGCAGCTTTGGCCTCAGCCTCCGAGTCACTGGAGTCAAACGACGGGTAGTTCTTGGTAGCGGTGGTCGATACCGGTTTGGATTTGGTGAGAGAATCCATGATGGATGGCTGCCTCACATCGAGCACTATATCAACGGGAGAAATAACATTGCAGATCGGTTAAAAAGCATTTCACTTTTTTCTTTTAGGCACTTTAAGTATCCAATCTATCCAAATGTGCATACCAGAAATATGTGACACGAGGAAAACTAGTGTTGCAAAACTAATTAGTACCATTTAATGAAAAATGTAATAATTATTTTATTGCTATTGCACATTTGTACTTAACTTTTGTTTATACAAATATTATTATTCTATTTATTTTATACTTTGAATGCAGTTTTACCTTTAACATGATTAAAATATTTGATTCTATTTTCTCGTAGCCTCGTAGCACATTTTTCTTAAAATCAACTGTCCACCAAACTCAACGAATGAAGTATTCTGATTTTGAAAACAGCATTGATAAAACATTCAAAAGTTCACCATGAACCTGTCTTTAAATCTGTGGGACATAAACCACACTGAGCTGTTCCTAATTCGGCTGACTCTAAATACCTGGAGACTTCTTTGCGGCCGGCTTCCTGGCAGCAGCAGGTTTCTTCGGGGCGGCTGCTCTGGGTTTACGTTGAACTGGAGCTTTGGGAGCAGGCACCGCATCGTCTGATTGAGCTGCAGAGCATCGCAAAGAGAAATAATTAAAACTCTGACCTGGGGCCCGACAGTTCTCCAGCTCACGTGTCGTTAATATACTCACAGCTCGACTTGGCCTGAGCTGCTTTAGCTGCCGGTTTGCTTATTGCCGTTTTCTTCCTGCATCGAAGGGATGAATCCGAGTTAAAGGTAAATATCGTGACTGAAAAAAACGTCATACATCAAGTTATTTGTCGTTTATACTCACGCAGGTTCTGGAGCTTTTGGAGGAGGGACTGGAGAGTCCACTTCCCTGTCGGACATTGGCTCCGGGAGAAAGCTATCATCATCACTGATAACGGGTTTACGTTTAGGAGCACTCTTCTTTCCCACGTCATCAAAGTCATCTTCACTGTCGGACATGCTGTACTTCACCGGAACTTGACAAACAAAAAACAGAAAGGTTTGATTTAGCAATCCTGCTTTGTGAATTTGGGTTAGAAGACACAACATAACAGTTTGACAGCTCATTAGTCTCAGGAAATGCCTTTGATTTAAAGGGGACCTATCATGCAAAATGCACTTTGGTATGTCTTTTATACATGAATATGTGTCCCCGGTGTTCCAGGGAACTCACCAAGTGTCAGAAAACACAACCCTCTCTATTTTCCTCCATACCCAAATCTCTAAAAAAGGGTCTGCAACGGATCTGATAAAAACTGATCCAGATTTGAACACTGTCCTGACGTCAGGACGGTGGCGCTACGGCTATTGGGCCAACTCCACCAATCGGGAGGAGACAGCCACGGCCATTGCCGTTCGAAAGCGCTGGAGACGCTGTAGTACATATGCCAGGCCTGTAGATGGTGCTGTTCTCACAGAATCAGCCCTTACACAAACAGAGCTAAAAAATGTCAAATTGAGCAAAATGAGGCATGGCTAAAATGCATGATCTGTTTGGTATTTTGAAAAAGAAAAAGTATAAATATGCCTTATATAGGTATGGTCCTACACTATATTATTATAATATAGCATGATAGGTCCACTTTAAATAAGTTAGAAAAGTGACGTGCAGGGTAATCGCAGTAATAATTGACATTCACCTTTAGATGTGCGACCGACCCTGGGGGCGATCACTTCCTCTGAATTCATTTCATCGTCGGACATATTGTCAAACATGTCGTCCGACGCCTCGTCCGACTCTTCGTCCGACTCCTCGTCCGACGCAATCTTCTTGGGCTTCTTCCCCACAGCCTTGAACTGAAGAGTGCTCTGCTTGCCGGTCTTTGAAGCAGCTGAAGAGAAAGTTTTTTTTTTATTATCATCTTTAATCAATTGCAATTCAACTCTTCAAAAACAGTTTCAGACATTTAGGGGAAATCTAATAATTCACTGTCGATTGTTTTTGTTGTTAATGCTCAGATATTCCAGCCCCCCCCTCTTGCTAAACTATTGATTGTGGGTTATCCAAAGAAAAGAAAACATATTCAAATACAGCATTGAAGTCTGTTTCTCTTCTGTAAACATCTAGCATAAGTTTGTCATTGTCTCGCAAAGAATGTAACTTGATATTATTATCCTAGCTCAAGCAGTATGGCACGTAATTACTGCTGTAAAATAGAAAGATTATCTGTTAGTGATGTGTCGGTCGCGAACGAGCCGACTCTTTTAAGTGAACGACGGGAGCCGGCTCGCGCCCGGGAACAAGCAGTTTTGTTGTTAAGTAATACAAGACAGAATGATATGATGATCTCCGCGCTACGGGTGCTCCGTGCATGCAGGCAGTGACATGTAACCAAGGATTCGAGACGGTTGGATGCTGCTGTTTTGAGCATTGCAATATATTTATTTTCATCATGTTATTTATGATTATTTTTAGGCTCAGCAAAGATTTGTTGTCGGTGTTGCCATCTGCTTTTTTTAGCGTGGTTCTACAATCAGAGAGCAAGGGTCTGTAAATGCAATGAAAACGATTGGCCACAGCAAATCATTTATATTAAACATGTAATTTTTACTTTTGAATACTTCAGTACAAAGGATGTATTGAATAATTTAAGTGATATATGTGTACACATATAAATCATTAATCAAAACAGGGCTACATTTGATTGAATTATAAAAGGTATATTTCGCAGATAAACCCATTAACCCCGCCCCCTTTAAAAAAAAAAAACTGCTCTTTTGAACGGCTCTCGCAAAGGAACGGAGCCATAAGATCTGGCTCCCTTCAAAGAGCCATAATTCCCATCACTATTATCTGTAGATAAAGAAATACAACATATTATACAACCCCCTATTAGTGTTTTGAGAAACATCTAAAATCACAAGCAGGTGATAAGATTGAAATGCATTAAACTAAATATTTCCCTACATTTCAAAATGCTTGAGGTCTGTGGAAATACAAATGCTGTTCTCCAGGGGAACCACTAGGTGTCACTAAACAGCCACTGTTACAACTTCAAAAAACTCATCATACAGTGTCCTTCAAAAGGTTGTTTTGGTCATCAATTGTTTATTATAACAAGTTGCAAAGAGTTTAAAATAATTCTACTTTTACACCACACCTTGTCAGACATAAAAGTTTTGGTAGGTATATCGGCATATCGCTGTGTCTTTAATATCAGGGTTCATACACTTTTTCACCAATGACTTTCAATGACTTTCCATGACCTTTACCTAATTTTCCATGACCAAAAAAAATTACTCCTTCTCAGCGGTACCACTGAAAATGGTTTATTTTAACATGGAACAGGAAAATAAGGTCTGCATATGAAACATGTTGTGCCTATCTAAAACAAATCAAATAGTTGGCTTACTAGCTTCTACAGGCTAAAGCAGTGCTTCTCAAACTTTTTTCAGTAATGTACCCCCTGACCGACCCCGAACATTTTTGATAGAAAAAGCCTATATTAATTATTACAATATAGTGATGTTCCATTAGTGTGTGATTTATTAACGCCTTCATCCATGAATTGCGGTACGTCCACACGGCAGCGTCGTGTGCTTCAACGGAGACGCTTCCCATTCACTTTGAATGGGGTGACGTCACGCTTTGCCGAACTGCATTGTGGTTCCCTCGCGTCGCTTTGCCTCCGTTGCTCGCTTAGAAAGTTGAGAAAAGTTCAACTTCTCAAGCGTCGACGGAAGCGCCAGCCAATCAAATGATATGCCAGTACAAGCCAATCAAACCGCGTGCTTGTGTGTCCGGGGCGGGAGATTAATGTGATTGGTTGTTGGTCGCACGCCAGACACGCCTACCGGCAAGCTTCAACGTGACGCTGCCGTGTGGACGTACTGTTACAACAAACTAAGGATATTTTATATCTTTATGCATGAACAACATAACGATGAACAAAATGATATATTATGCAAAAACTAATGTTATAAATAGGAATATTTTATATAAAATTGTGTTTTCGATTTAACTTATTGTACTATGATTATTTTTGTAATCATGCATGGTATTTTTTTAATTCACCTTTTTTTGTTTTATCTCACGTAACCCCTGCAGTACCCCAACGTACCCCTAGGGGTCCGCGTACCCCCATTTGAGAATCACTGCGCTAAAGCAACTAAAATCTCTCACCAGCAAAATACCTCGACAGTTAAATGCCATTTTACGTTTCATTACTATACTATACAGTATTTATTATCATTATAGTATTGCTATTTCGGCGATTAGATAAAATATAAATTATATTTGATGCAACTTTAGTTACATTTCCATGACTTTTCCAAAACTTTGGGAAAAATAACTTTTCCAGGGCCTGGAATTAGCTTTTTGAATTTCCATGACTTTTCCAGGTTTTGAATGAACGTAAGAACCCTGTAATATACAAACTGACTGAATTATAAAATAAAGTGATCAGTGTTACCTTTCTCACCCTTTTCCTTTGGCTGGGTTTTAGTTCTCTTCCTCACTGGTGCAGCCAAGCCGTTGTCCTCGCTTGGCTCTGTGTTCTCTGAATCTTCTTCAAACTCCATCTTCATCACGACGTCTTCGCCCTGAGTTGGGAAGGTAAACGCTACCATCATTCAAAGACACACTTGTATCCTGTGATGTATTTTAAGTCAAAAAGACATACCGTGTCTCTGAGACATGCGAAGAAAACATGTGAAAAGTACTGGAGAAACTGGAAATGTTATGTGAAACCAAACTGATGTCCTATCACCTACTTGCTGTGTTTTGAAAATGTGCTTTACTTAACCCTGTACTAAGACCAAATAAACCAAACTTCATCTGTAAATGGAAGAATCATAGACCCAGGACAGAGAATTAAAAAAGGTCAATCATGGACAAAGTGGCCTAAACACCCTGATAGTGTAATGTAACCCTGCCTTTGTTAGCCCTACATGCCTAAATATGTATACACGTATGCACACTGTTGGAGCATCTAAGGAGATAAATGTGTATACGATTGTAATGTGTGTGCAAGTACATGATATTGTATATTATGTATAATATTTTCTATAGTAAGCTTTCCTTTTTACCCAGGATGACCCTGTATGCAAAGAAAAAAGAAAAACATACCTTGACTTTTTTGCCCCCTTTCCTCAGAATGGCCTTCTTGTTAGCTTCAGCCTTCATGGCGCTGGTGATGCGCGGGACGACGCGGCGGCCCTGCGGCGTGGGCAGCGTCTCCTGCTTCACCTTCACCACCTTCGTTCTGCCACCCCCCTTTTTAACAATGGGCATTTCAGCCTCCTCCTTCTCCTTCTTCTCAACCCTCTGAACAAAAAAAATCAAAAAAACATAATCAGTGGTTTAATCAGGAGGGGAATGATTGACAGACTCGAATCAATGCTTAATATGCAAATGTTTGAACATGTTTTGGCAATATGTCAAAAAGGCAAGTATTTGACCATATTTGACAGAGGAGGTGCATCTGGACGTATACAGAGGCTAATGGCGCATTTCCACTACACGGTCGGCCTCGGCCACACTCGGTACGGCTCGGCCGCGTTGGGCCTTAACAGGGCCGACTCACTTCATGCTGCGCTTCCATTACAGTTTAGGAACTGGGGTAGTTACTATAGTAACGCAGTGTAGGCGGAGCCGTGACGTCATCTTCAATGAGAACTCCAGAAACACAACACAGCCGTTAGCTGTTAGCACTCAGAGCTCCTTATATATGTTCAGAAACTCGACAAAAGTTAAAGTACAAACCACAGACTGCCTGTGTCATGGTGAATACAGTCGCTGCTTTATTTATGTCTGTATAGGCCGTTGTTGTGAGTGTGGACGGTCAGAGCATATACTGCGTTAGCTTAGCCAATCTCCATCTAGAAAAACACGCATTTTAAAAGGTTTTTCGCCTGCCGTCTGTCTGCAGACTTGACAAAGCATTAATTCATGGTTTTTACTAACCGGTATCAGTATGTTGTTACTTCGGCATCATTTTGAAACGTGTATTACAATTAAATCACGGTCAAATATGTCCATCTTGTTGTAGTTCTAGCCCTCTTGCCAGCGCTCCTCTCTCTAGTTTAGCATACTCAGCCCGACTCAGCCCTGTTTGTTGGCCCCGATAGAACCACAATTTTGTCGGGCCAGAAAAGAGGTGAAAAAGTGGCCCCGGGCCGGGCCGGGCCGTAACTAGGCCTAGTGGAAGCGCAACCAAAAACGGGTACGGCACGACACGGCACGCTTAAAGCGAGCTCCGCGCTGTAGTGGAACTGCGGCATAAGTCCCTCCCTTTCCGGTGGACCTCCATGGGACCTTATTTCGGAAAAAGTATGTATTGAAGTCAATGGCGAGAGAAAAGTTATCTTTTGATCCCGTTTGAATTGTGCCACGAATTACACATATGTTTGTCAATTTAAAAGATAATTTTGGAAGTTAAAAAAAAAAATGTTTTGCCGTAAAACTGTGAAGCAAGACTTTTTTTGTGTGAAACAGCTCAATGAACTACATCTCTGGTCTCGCACAACAACACACGTCACCAAGATGGCCGTCACTACTGTCTTGTCAAAAAAGGGATTGACTACCCTCACTATCACCACAATGAAACACGTCCAGAAGGATGTCATGCAAAGCTGCCTGCCTTCGATTCTCCCTGAACTTTTTAATGTTCAATGTTAACCATTTGTGCAGATAGCATGAAGTAGAAAAGATCTCCGATGCTAATATAGCGTTAGCGTTAGCATGTCTCCCGGGCTTAAACGGTGTATTATAGAATGATCTTACCGGTGTGTCAGTACTCTTCAAAGGGTTCACGAAATATGACTACTACTCTTACTGTTTAACCTTGTGGGTTACTTAATGTTACTTCATGTTAAGGCTTATAAAAATGACAAGGCTAAGGCTGTAATGCTAACTAATGTGCTTGCTACTAGCTAGTTAGCTAACTTGATCCAGCCACTCCTGGTCCTTTCATCAGACGGGAAGCGAAAGAACGAGCAAGACCCATTGCTGGTATGATTACAGCCTGGTACAAAGCACACAGGCATCTTGTTAAAGTTATCTTATCTTAGCTATATCTTATATTTAGTGGAGGAAAACAATGACGACATCACTTACGCGACTCTGGGATTTGTAGTCTTTCTAGTTGCGTATTTTTCATAGTCTTATATTTCAACAGTTTTACGACAAACTGTGAATTTTTTGACATGGAAATTATTTTTTAAGATTGACAAACATATGTGTAATTCATGGCACAATTCAAACGGGATCGAAAGATAATCTTTCTCTCTCCATTGACTTCAATACATAATTTTTCTGAAATACGGTCCCATGGTGGTCACCGGAAAGGGAGGGACTTCGCCTCTCTATTAAAAAAAAAAAAAGTGTATACGAGCCGTTACCTCCAGTTCCTCGCAGAAAGCAGCCAGGTCTTCGTTCCACAGGTCTGATGGACTCTTTTTCTCCAGGGTGCTCAGCTCTGTCAACTATAAGACAGCAAGTTGGGGTCAGAAATGAACAACGGCCACACATTTAAGTGTAAGAAATCAGCAAAACGTAGCACAGAATATCACACCTTGTTGTCCCTCTGTTTGCAAAGCTCATCTTTCTTCTCTTTGCTCAGGTACCACATGGGCATGCTCAGCAGGTAGTTGAAGTCCGGCCCGCTGGCGTCCACCACCTCCACTCCTTCCTCGGCCGGCTCTTCCTCCACAATATCAACATTCTGACAACATGAAAAACAAGTTATTGTATCACGTAGAAGCCAATAACATAATTATGTATATTTGATTTATTTCACATTTAAATAAAGCAATGTTAATTCGGTTAACAATTTGTTTCGTTTTTCCCTTTAAAAAAATAACAAAAAGTACCTACAAGAAAAAGAATACCGTTAAAGTACCGGATCGATAAGCAGTATCGATAAGAGTAGTAGTACCGTTAAAAACCTTAGCGATACCCATCCCTATATATTACACAAGTAAAGTGTTAAGAGAGTGAAATGTTGCTTTACGAATTTCAACACTTGATGCGGTCACCTTGATTCAAACTTCAGATACCTGTATTTGCCTAACTGAGTTAGTTTAAAGAGAAAACATTTTGACTAAAACTAGACTAAAACTACGAAGGATAGAAATGACTCAAATGTGACTAAAACTAATAACCATTTTCGTCTAAAGACTAAATCAAAAATAGCTGCCAAAATTAACACTGGTAAAAGCAGATTATAATCTAGCGTCCATGAGTCAGACCTACCTTCTCCTGAGCCTGTTTCCAAGCCTTCACTGGGTCGGAGTCGAAGCCCATCTCCTGCAGCATGCGGATCAGCTCCTTCTTTGGCTTGTTCTCTGTAAATACATACACAGCAGTATTCATTATTTTGATCAAGATAAATCAAAAGCATTTTTAAGTCTGCACAAGTTTGGCTAAACTGATCATAATACATGATCATGAATATTACAATTTCAAAGCAGCAGTGGCGTTAAAAAATAAAATGTCACAAGCTACTGACCAATGACCAAGGTGCCCTCGATTTTCTCCAGGATGAAGCGGGCCTGGTTGCTGAGTTTAGCGCCTTCAGCTCCCAGCATGCCCACCAACCAGTCCTTTCTCAGCAAATAATACTTCATCCTCAACTCGAAGAAGTCCCGGAGGATTTCCAGTACAGACTCGTACTTCTTCAGGCTGCCCATGTGGTCAAACAGAACCTAAAGAATAAGAAGTTTGGAAACAGTTTTATTGCCAAGTAGGTTTACACCCATCATGCAAAATGCACTTTTTGATGTCTTTTATACATAAATATGTGTCCCCGGTGTGTCAGGGAACTCACGCAGCGTCAGGAAATAAAACCCTCTCTCTTTAGAGACCACGACGCCATCTGCGATTGATTAACTTGTGGACAATGATCCCTCGCTCTACGCCTCCTGTACCCAGGCCCGGACTCGCCATCGGGAGGACCGGGGGGGTTTCCCGATGGCCTGGCCTGTTAAGTGGCCTGCCTCACACAGGGGGACTGGTTGTCTACATGATGTGGCCTGCCGACATGGCCACTGTCATACAGATCATAAATCAAAGCCCTTGATTGGTCTCTGTGTGTCATTCAAGCTCGGGATAACCTCAGCTCAGGTGAGGTAAAGGACTCTGAGTGTTTAGATAGTTAACTTAGTCTAAGTTCTCAGTGGGTCTCAAACGGTTTGGTCACCATTTATGTAAACACATATTTCCATTTGAGGGGGGAGTGATTAGTAAAATATGCATGAATTAAAAATAAAAAAGTTAACTAGGTGAAAAAAGGTAAAAACTTTGCTGCTGCCTCAAAGAGGAGCAGGGGGGAGAGGAGGGAGACAGGAGAGGCTGATTCAGGAGCCCAGACACACTCACAACTATAAATGAACCAAAAACAAATAAATAAACAAGTTTCAGTGTATTTTCATATTGGAAATGGTATGTTATTGGTTATGGCCATGGTTTTATGATTATTGAAATGTATATGCAGTTCTGTTTCATATGGGTTTCCATAGATCAAGTCTCTTTATTTCCCCCTCAAAGTGCACCAGATTGACGCATTTAACTCCAAAATGAAAAAAACAATCTTACCATAGAATTGCAGGTGAGGTTGTTCTGGAGCTTGAAGACTTTGTGGAGGCCGGCAGCCTCGGCTTCGATCAGCTTCTCGGGGGTCATCTTGATCAGAAAGCGCACGGTGGTGTCGGTGTGGTACTCCCTGTAGTCAGTGATCAGAGGAGGGACTTTCTCTGTGCCGTTCATCATGGGCTCCAGAACGTTCTCCTTGTAGTTCTACACAACACAGAAGGCCGGGAAATCACAAAGTGGTCTCAAAAAGTTTCATTTGAGCTTCTGTTGGTAAGTGGTAGGGCTGCTCGATTATGGCAAAAATCCTAATCACGATTATTTTTGGTCAATAATTGATAACACGATTATTAAAAACGATTATCCATTTACTTTGAAAACATCCATTTATTGGAAAAAAACATTTGAACGGTATGTTTTTAACAGTTGATTATCCTGAACTTTAAGTATAATTCAACTGAAAACACAATAAAAAATAAATAATTGTTTTATTTCGATTACGTTGTTTTCGTAATCGTTGCAAGCCAAAATCGTAATCGAGATTAAAATACGATTAATTGCACAGCCCTAGCAAGTGGTGATAAAAGTATTCAGATACTTTACTTCAGTAAAAGTCCTGAATTGAAAATGTTACTAATGAAAAAGTATCATAAGCTAAATGTTGTTAAATGTAATTCAGAACACTTTTAGAAAATTCTAAAATATTTTTAAATAAACATCCTAGTTATTCAAATAATTAGAAAAGTTCTTAAAGGTTTATATAAAAAAAAAGTCCAATTAATTGTTGGTTAATCTCATATAGAACAAAACATAATTTTAACATTTTAAACGATGGTGTTTTTATTCGGAAATGTTAATTAGAAAAAAGTAACTAGTGCCTTAATCTGTCAAATGAAAGCAGGAAAAAAGTACAATATGTCACTTTGAATTGGAGCAATATCATTTGCCCTTGAACAAATGAACTGAATTTCCTTCCACCACTGTGAACAGCATCAATGCACATGATTGAACATCCTGAACACACTCCTGACAGAAAGGGCAAAGCTTTTTGGACTAACCTGAGTCCATGTTTTGATAGGAAGTTCAGAGATCTCGATGGTGGTGGAGTCGATGATGGCCACCTCTCCACTGACGATGTACGCGTTGTCCACCACGTTGTCGATTGTGCCTTTGAAGCCTTTGAAGTTTGGAAGCTATGGGAGAAAAAAAAAAGCACCCTCATCATCAGAAACTTTATACAATGAATATATGATGATAAATGACATCTGGTGTCCTCGGATTTGATCATATAAGACAGTAATGTTCAGGAAGTCATTTGTGTTTCCTCACCATGAGCTGAGGCTCTTCTCCAGCAATCATACGGCGGATGTTGTTGACTATCTCTCGGACGCTGAAGTTGGGGATCTTGCTGGCCCAACCGGTGCCAATGCCCTCGCTGCCGTTCACCAGCACCATGGGGATGATGGGAATGTACCAATCCGGCTCTACGCGCTGGTTGTCATCAATGTTGTACTTGAGAAGGTTGTCGTCCATATTTGGGAAGATGAGGCGAGTCAGAGGGCTGAAAGGACCGAGAGAGGGGGGGGGGGGGGATCTTTGAGTTTATTTTGGTATATTGAATTTGTTACAAGCTGGCTCTTTTTGTAACAAAAGGAAAGAATATTTAAAGGGGACCTATCATGCAAAATGCACTTTTGTACGTCTTTTAAACATGAATATGTGTCCCCGGTGTTCCAGGGAACTCACCAAGTGTCAGAAAACACAACCCTCTCTATTTTCCTCCATACTCAAATCTCTAAAAAAGGGGCTGCAACGGATCTGATAAAAACTGATCCAGATTTGAACACTGTCCTGACGTCAGGACGGTGGCGCTACGGCTATTGGGCCAACTCCACCAATCAGGAGGAGACAGCCACGGCATTGCCGTTCGAAAGCGCTGGAGACGCTGTAGTACATATGCCAGGCCTGTAGGTGGTGCTGTTCTCACTGAATCAGCCCTTGCTAAAACAGATCTAAAAAATGTCAAATTGAGCAAAAGGAGGCATGGCTAAAATGCATGATCTGTTTGGTATTTTGGAGGGAAAAAAAAGTATAAATATGCCTTATATAGGTATGGTCCTACACTATATTATTCAAATATAGCATGATAGGTCCACTTTAAACAAAAGTTGCCAAAAACAATAGCAAAAACGGTACAAAACATCTGAGAAACTGAGTTTGCCTACATCTCAGAAATTCAAAGATGTAGGCAAACTGAAAAATTACACGGACTGGATAAACCTTTGAGTTAACTCCATATTCTCAAATGTGTAGCTTCCAGACATTTTGTAGTTTGTAGCAAGGATGCTGACCTGAGCATGGTGAAGATGTATCGAGGGCTGGCAGAGTCCTTGCCTCCGTGCAACCTGGTTCCAAACTGACCCATCGGCTGCAGCATGTTCAAGTTGTTGCTTCCCACAAAGTTCTGAGCCAACCCAACAATGGTCATCATCAGAGAGATCTGAAAAATTGACAAAGTTGATGAAGTAAATCAACAATATTATGCAAAATGCTTAACATAGCTCCACAAGTTGGTACAATATTAATTTGCTATTAGGAGGTGCCTTTGCATTTATTTCACTGCAAATTAATGTCAACCAGAAACCAGAAATCTGGTTAAGTCTTGCCTTAAGTTAGACTGAAGCACGCTTTTGTGCATCAGTCAATAAAAGTTAAAAACAGAGTTCATTCCCAGATCAAATGTACTTTAATGGGTCGTATACATATTGTTTTCAGTGATTGAAATGTTGTGTTAAATGTCTCTTTACTTGCAACTTGTTTTAATATTTGTCCTTGCTGATTGACTGCAATGCAAAACAAATATAATATTACAATAACGTGTCATCATATCGTCGATGAGAAATTTGAAGGCAATAGACACACAAAGCTCAATAGAACAATTTATTTAAAGATTATGTCTTTTAAAAAAGGGGGCAAATCTTTTTTGAACAACATATACGCTAAAATAAGCAGTAGATTGACATGAAATGAACAGGCTAATCCAGAAACTGGAAGGACAAATAGAGAAAGCTTCATGGAAAGTGAGAAGAAATGATGATGGTTGTAGGCATATGTGGGAAATAAACGTATCAAGTGTAGTTTAATCTCACCTCTCCATGGTGATAGGCTGACATCTCAGCCACCGATCCGGCCAGCTGCGCCACCTTCACCTCACGCTTGTCGTTCCTCTTGAAGCAGCAGAACAGCACCTTCCTCTGGCCGGGTTTCAGACCTGACACCCAAATGGAAACACTTATTAAACCCCTCTCACAGCTTGTCTTAAGATTTACAAAATGTTCTCGGTGATGGCGGTTCACGCACCGTCCACCAGGCACGGGAGGGACCTCTCATTGTCAGAGTTGGAGAAAAGCACCAGCTCCTTGTTGACAAAGTCGTTGTAAGAGAGGGACTTGGTGTTCGCACCGTACAGGAAGTCCTGTGAAAAAAAACAATAAAACGGTTGTAGAAATTTGATAGAAAAATGGGATCATTTCCAATCAAGTTCACTGAATTTTGGGACGGTACCTCAGGCAGGTTGTGAGCTCTGCGCTGGCGCCGGTCCAACATGAAGTTGGTCAGCCACAGTTTCCTCTCCTCAATTTTCTTCTTGCTAAAGGCCTGGAAAATAAAAAAGGGAAAAGAACGGTTATTACCACTCCAACTGATAAATAAGTCAGATTGCAAATGCTCTACACCAGCGTTTACGCCAGGGGGGCGTCTTGCCGTCATTTGACGCCCTTATTCAGCTCGGAACGCCCTGAACTCGAGCCGAGGGCGTCCAGAAAAATTAATAATTCGAGAGAAGATCAAGTTTTTATCACTTGAAATGACGAAAAGGAAAAAGGACAAGGGCATCTCTCTGTTGGAGGGGCAAAGGAGTCTGGTGGGATTATTTTCGCCACCAGCAAAGCGTGTTCCTGTGACGGAAAGTGTACTGCCGGCGAGCCTTGGCGGGGGGTGCTAGTGGAGCACGCTCGTGAACTGCGAGCGCCGGAGCCTCACAGCGGCGAAACTGAGGCTCCGTGGTAAACTGTGGTAACATGAAGAGCCGTTTAGGAGCCGAAAGAGCCGGCTCTTCTTAGTGAGCCGAACCAAATGATCTGGCTCACTAAAAAGAGCCGGAATTCCCATCACAAAACGTAAAGAGATAGTATCTATAACTTAAGGGACGGCTCAATTCAAAATTCAAGTCACGTGACACGACGTGACGTCACACACACCCCTTTTTTGCTACTGTAGTATAGGTCTATATTTCTGTTGCTGCAGTATGTTAGTCTTTTATAGAACATCTTAATTTATCCAGAATATTTTATATTGTGTATTATTGTTGATATACGTCTATTCTACTGTGGATATGTTTATATTTGCTGGGTGGCATCTTACAAGGGTGATAGCTTCATCGTCTGCAGGTCCGCCATACTTGAACGGGATGCGATGTTTCTGCATATCCGAGAAGTACTCCTTGGCTTCCTGCGATGTGCTGGTACCCAAACCTGGAGGGACAAAGGCCAAAAAAAGAGATTAGATAATGAAAAAACACAAGGCTATATCCCAGACATTTCCCAGGTATGAAGGGTCGCTTACTTGGGTTTCTGCACTACCAACCAGGTGTTTTATAACAAACCTTTGTAGTATTTTGTTCTCCAAGATTTGAGGTTGGTCTTCGTGTCCTTCCATGCATTGTATTCAGGGATACTGTAGAAAGAGATGTGCTCCTTCTTGTGTGACACCTGAAAAGGGGGAAATAAAATAAATCCACAAACATCTCTTATTCTTCTTCTTCTTGTCGTTAAAATGGTCAAATGTATTTGACAAAGAAATAATCAAATAAGGATTGAACATGACAGATTCTGTGGTTTTGACACCAGATGGCAGTGTTGTTTTAAATTCAGGGAGACAAGAGAAAAAGTATAGACCTCTCAGGGCCTAGAAATTTGCTTTGATATTGTATGCTTTGTCCCGAAATCTTCTAGCTAGTTTCCATAATAAACAAAATAACTCTGCCTACATATCGTGTGTTTTAGAGTGAGACTATGTACCTTGATGATGGGGGTGATGAACTCTTCCAGGAAGTTGTGGCGCAGCAGAGACGGCCAGTTATGGTGGATGAAGTTGATCAAAAGGCCCTTGATGTGGGAGCCATCTTGATCCTGCCAAAGCGACACAGAAGAGTCATTAATGTGACCAGTAGAGCCATTAATGTGACCAGTAGAGCTGAAGATAAATACCATTTGAGCTTGGCACTGTATCTAAATTGAAGCGGTGAAAAGAAACATGATTAAAAAAAATGAATACAAACCTGATCTGTCATGATCATGATCTTGCCATAGCGCAGAGTCTTGAGGGATTCTGGGTCGCTGTAGTTCTTCTTGTACTGAAGGCCGAGGATCTTAATGACGCTGTTGATCTCATTGTTCTCCATGATCTGAGGAGGAAAACCAAAACAAAGGTTGACTCTTTGGCGTTTCCAAGTGATCCTCAAAATGGGTTTCTCTAATTGAACATACTGATGTTTTAGTCTAAGAAAATTAAAATGTAATGTTGCGTTTATTCTGCCAAAAAATTAAAAAGAAAGGTAACCACAACAATACAGATTCATACATTGCACATTCATTAGTGCTGCACCAATAGTCAAAATGTTATTAATGTGTTAAAATATCCTTTTGTTTGAAATACTGTCAAGACGCTAAGGCAGGGGTGTCAAACTCAAGGCCCGGGAGCCAAGTCTGGCCCGTGACTTCACTTCATGTGGCCCCGCAAGAGCTTGCAAAGAATATTATACGGTTACAGAAGCACGTTGTCCACAAACTACATGTCCCACAATGCATCTCATTTTGTGACGTGCGCACTGAAGAGACTTGCAATTATTTGTCCTAGACTTCTGCTTTTCGGACGTAGTTAATTATGAAGTTATTACCCTATCAGATAATAATCCAACGCAGAGGCAATAATGTAATATAACACATTATTTTATATATGTATTTATATATAGTCTTAAAGTTTTGCACTGGCTTTTAACACATTTCTTTGATATTTGTATGTGTTTTTATGTTTCTAGTTATTGTGCTTTTTATTTTTAATTATTGTTTTACTCCTATTGTGTTATTTTATATTTGTTCCCTGTACAGCACTTTGGTCAACTGAGGTGGTTTTAAATGTGCTATATAGATAAATAAAGATTGAAAGTTACAACCGGCCCTTTGAGTGCAACCATAATGCTGATGAGATGAAATCGAGTTTGACACCCCTGCGCTAAGGTATCCTGGCCTACAAATCATATTCTAGACTCAAAACTAAAAGAAAGGTTGGTAAAGATCCTTTAAAAACATAAGAAAAAGAATTGCAATTATTTTTGTTCCTCCAAGTCGTGCAGCCCCATCTTCAAAACGACATGGCATGTCATGAGCAGAATGATGGTGGGTGTACCTGTTTGAGCGTGGCCTCCCGGACGTTGAGCATTTTTCCTCTGAGAGGAAAGACGCCATATCGGTCCCTGCCGACAACCCCCAGCCCGGACACAGCCAACGTCTTGGCCGAGTCTCCCTCAGTGAGGATCAGCGTGCAGCTGATGGAGTTCTTCCCACCTGCAAGACAACATGGTTACTGCAGGATGAGGGCAGCTCAGTTGGTAGGAAGTAACTGATAGATTAAAGCTTCATTCATAACGTGGACATTCAAAATCATTTGCATGCTGAACAGCCTTTTCTTGGCATATCTATTTATTCTGTTAAAAACCAGGCTGGTCTGCACAGATTCAGGTAAAGTTAAGGGTACAATAATATTATATTAGTTATACTTTTTGTATAAGATTCCAGTGGTAGTAGTAAACAGTAGGGCTGCACGATATATTGTGTCGATAATCGCGATATTCACATCGCAGGAAGTGCGATATTAAGTAGGCAAATTAACTCAAACACGTCATGTTACAATTCTTTTTGCTGCTTGCTACAAAAGGAAAACTTGCACGGCTCTCATGTCAGGGGTACTTGAGTGAGTGACATGCAGGCTCTGCATGCACAGCAAACCACCAATCACAATCATTCTTGATCAGATCACAGCTGGCTAACCGAGCTAGCTCAGCTTGTTGCTCTGATAACTTAAGATCCAGACGTCCGTGACGAAAACCCTTCATCCGGTTAAATATAGTCAGAAAAATACCAATTGTATAGCATTAAAGTTCAAGAAACGATGGTTTGCGGACAAAAAAAACTGTCTTTTCTTCAATTCCTGTATTTTTTCATATCGCAATATATGTCATTTTTTACAATATTGTGCAGCCCTAGTAAACAGTCAAAATGTATTGAACAAAGATAGAAGCAATTAATTCCAATATTCACACTTGGTTTTATTTAGTAGGAATCTAGTAGCAATATCAAACTCCCCGTAACTTTAATGTATTTAGGAACAATAACAGAATAACACATTTTTAGGGAGCTGATGAGATCATAAAATATGATAAGACATTTAAAACTTCATTAAAAAACCTCAATAAAAGATTCTAATGTAATAAAAACGAAAATAATATATTCATACAGGCCTACTCATTTGCTTCCGGCAGTGGCTCAGTCGTAAGGGGCTTGGACTGTGAGCCGTAGGGTCGCCGGTTCAAGTCCCTGAACAGACCTAAATATGGAGTGTGGACTGCTACTTGGAGAAGTCCCAGTTCACCTCCTGCCCTGCCGTGGTGCCCTTGAGCAAGGCACCGGGCACCCCCCCACCCCCCTGCTCCCCGGGCGCTGTACAATAGCTGCACACTGCTCTTAGTACTACTAGACTCCTGGTACTAGGAGGGGTTAAATGCAGAGGCCAAATGTCACTGTGTGTGCTGTGCTCTGCATGTGTGACCATTACAGAGGGTTTCATCCCTCCGATTATATTACTTGTGAGGTTATTCTGTATAGAAAAAAGATTTGTGTGCTATAAAATACCTGCGTCGTTGGCGTCGTCCAGTTTAGGCACCCCTTTGATTTTGGTGTGTTTAACACTCGAGCATTTCTTGTTGAGCTGATTCTGAGCCTTGAACTTCACCCAGTTCATGATACTCTCCACAATCCCACAGGATATGGCCTGTGGATAACAGAAGATGAAGAGGAAATTGTGATTTTGGAATGATTACACTTGTCTGAGTAAGAATGCAATGTCAGTGGTTCTTCATTGGCACCTCTTTAATGAAGTGTGCACCGAGAGGACAGACGGATCCAAAGGTCTTCTGCTGCAGTGTCATGTTCTCTTTGGTCTGAGAGTCAAAGGTGGGGTTCTCAATCAGGCAATTGACAAACAGCCATAGGTGGTTCTTCACCTGGATGGAGAGAAGTAGGGTAAAATTCAGTATCAGAGAATATTTCCTACTCCATTGTTTTTTTATTACTGCTCCAACAACTTTACCTGGAAAGGCTTGACGGCCACCCCGGCTTTATTCTTCTTCTTCACCACATCAATGAGCTTGGCGACCACCTGGTCAGCCACATAGTCGACGTGCCTCCCTCCCTGAGGTCCAAAGGAAAAACACAAGATCCCATTTTCAGAATAAATGACATCAATCTTAATCCTAGTGACACAAAGTGACTGGGAGAGAAGCCAAACATGTACTTTGCTGCCAAAGAGCCTGGTCTACTGGTTCAGTCAGCCTTCAAATGCCTCATAGCTGCTTCAAGATGTTCATTTAATCAGGGCTAACTAATCAAGATGATAAATGATCAAAAGTGAAGTTGATTTTTCAATGTAGTAAGTCCCGGGGAATCACAAGTAGTGATTTGAGAGTCCCTGATAAAACTGTGTTAGATACATTATAGTGTTAAACATGTTATTGGGTGTTATATTGGAGTCACATTTAAACAAGAATAAGAAAATCAACCTTTCAATCAACTATTTATGTTTAAATCAATATTTTGAAATACAACTATATATTTTTAAGATCCTTAAAAATGTAAATAAGCTTGGGGTTTCTTCGGGTGTATTGCAGGCCGTACGGCATTTCTCCACATTGTATTTTTAAGTTGGTTAAACAATTTGCAGGGGTTTCTTTTCCAATACTTAACTTGTGTTCAAAGAGTATCTGAATACATCACTGAACTACTTCAAACAATTGTAATATTGGATTCACAACTCACACGTCATCAATCACTCTGTTACATAGATACTTGTACAATAAATGCACAATTAAAGATCTAATATTCTGTGACGTTACCTTGGTGGTGGCAATGCTGTTGGTGAAGCTGACTTGCTGGAAACCTTTCTCACTCATGGTGAGGCAGACCTCCCAGCGGTCGTTGACGATTTCGTGGACCACGGTGAGGGGATTGCCAACCTCGTCCAGCCTGTCCTTCAGATACATGTTCACGTAGCTACGGAAGCCTGTAAGCTGAAGTCAAAGAAAGTTTTGATCACAAGATGTATTCCCTAAAGGGTTACACAATAATCACTTAAATAGTTATTGTATGATGTACTTTTCTCATTATTAAACGTAACATTTTGTGCTATGGATTGATCTTCAAAGTAATTAGTACAGCCTTAACTAGCACGGTAACTTACTGGGATCTTCTTGCCGTTGAGGACCACACGGACACCTTTGGAGACTCCAGCGATGTCGTACGCCCTCCTGGTCATAAGAGCCACCGTGTCTTTGTCCAGGGTGCGCATTTTAAACTTGGACAGGTCTGGCGTGAAGGTGACGCAAGTGAACTCATCTCCCCCAAAGGGTGTGATTTTAGAATCCCCTGTCCTGCTCATGTTGTCATACCAAGTCTGTGGGAAGCATTACCATCATGTAAACATTTTCCTTTACAAGTTACAGTGATTACACAACTGTAAAAAGGTGGTCAGCATGTCCCATACCTGCTTGAAATTCTTCTTTGACTCTTTACAGGCAGTCTCCACAGTGAACTTGGTGCTAAAGATGTTGCAAAGCTTAGCACCATATCCATTGCGTCCACCTAAAGAAATATAATTGGTATGAAGACGTGGGTTAGGACAAAAAAAAGGATGTAGCTTGATTTTACGTCACCATACATGTGGCATTAAATTACATTTCTGTTTGAGGTGCATACCTGGTCAAACCTCTGTTATGAAATACTTTTGATGAAACGGTGTTGTGCAAACTATTCTCTTACAATGGAGTCGAAATAATATATATTTTTAAAACAATTGTTTATCCTAAAGACTAATGATTAGACAAGCAGTTTAGGGGATTTTGTTTCATTATCAGTTTCAAATGAATAGTTTAACTATTAAAGTTAAGGTTTTGTTAAAAACTAGGGCTGTCAGTCGATTAAAATATTTAATCGCATGATTGTCCATAGTTAATCGCGATTAATCGCAAATTAATCGCACATTTTTTATCTGTTCTAAATGTACCTTAGAGGGATATCTTTCAAGTTTTTAATACTCTTATCAACATACGAGTGGACAAATATGCTTTATACGTTTGTTTATTATCATTTGAACAATGACAAATATTCTCATGAATATTAAACACAACAACCTGAACATTACAAATATTCACCTCAATTCAACCTGGAACCTCTCTCATACAATAATACTGTGTGTGTGTGTGTGTGTGTGTGCAGCTCAAGGCATATATGCTCCAACGGGAGCTGCCTGGACGCTGAAATCATGTAGCGCGTACTATCCGTGCTGAGTGTGCTGACTTTTCGTACAATGTCCCACTGTCTGGCTACCTGCATAAAGTCAAGTGCTCGGCGCAGTTGTCGGCGAAATGTCATTGAAACAGCTCCTTATATCCGTTAGCGCAGCTAGCTAGCACCAGATGCTAACAACAACACGTAAGGTGTGCCTCGCTCGCGCGAGTCGCGCCACACATACACACACAGTCCGGGCCTGCCAGTGAGCGTGGAAGTGTGGTCTGCCACAAGCGGGCAGCAGGAGCGGGGCTGTCAGCATCAGCTTGTCGATGGTATTTTAAACTCGATGCGCTCTGAAACTACGGGGGCCGAGGACAAAAAATACACATGCGTTAATCACGTTAAAATAATTAGTGGCGTTATTTTTTTTTTGCGTTAACGCGTTAACTTGACAGCCCTATTAAAAACATGTTTTATCATTTAACTGCGTGTTGACAACTGCTTGTCGGACTCAAATGCATGGTTGAATGTAGAACTGTTCACAACAACAATAGATCTCTGCAATTTAATTGGTGAGATCGATGTTATTGTAAACAAAAGTGGGGGCCACAACTAGAGACATTAAACCCAGGTTGATCAAACTCTGCATTTTTCTTTAAATACACTAATCTACATTTTATTGTGCACTTGAATCAAAACAAATAAGTCTTCAGAATATATCTCACCAGTGACTTTCTTCTCGTCATCATCATAGTTACTGGAGGTGAGGAGCTGTCCAAAGATGAGAGCCGGCACAAAGACCTTCTCCACCTTGTGCTGCACCACAGGAATACCCTTCCCATTATTCCACACACTGATGGTGTTGTTTTCACTATAAAAAGGAAAAACATACATAAACATGTTCTTTAGTGATACCAATTAAGGCAATATAGCTGGATATGAGCGGTAGCTATTTGACAATGGTTGTTCAATATCATATATATACACTCACACATCAATGTTGATCTTGATACAGTTCATACTCTTGTCCCTCTGCTTGTTGTCAGCTGCGTTTACTGGAGAAATAATTGGGGGAAAAAACATGCTTATACAAGCGTTGCTAATGATAATTGACATTGTACTTCATCTAACGTTTTAATGGCTTTTTACTCACCAAGGATCTCGTCAAAAATCTTGTAAAGCCCAGGCACAAACGTCACATCACGGGAGTTCAGTCCCAGCACCTCATCATACACCCACAATTGCTAAAGAAGGAAGTCAAATAGTCACTACAAAGATCACACGTACATTTGTATAATGTGAACCATGAATGCTTTGTCCTTCCAAAAAACATCCTGCAACGCGCACAAATTGTCTTCAAAAAATATCTTTAAAAGTCTATCCTCACATCAGCTCCTGTGACATTTACCCAGGGACTCAGAATCAATACAAGGTTTATTTAGAGAAGTCATCAATTTCAAAAGACACAGACATTTCTGTGCGACCTCTTACTTGGGTGACAGGCTCCACAGAGCCGATGTAGGAGTCCGGTCGAAGCAAAATGTGCTCCAACTGGGTCTTCTTCTGATAGATCCTCTCCACTGACATTCGCTTCAGATCTTTGTTTGTCTTGTCAAGCGGCTTGTTTTCAAGGAAGTTCTGTAGGGGAAGTTATCTCTTACATTAATTTCTTGCAATGCAGTAAAGACAGCAGGAACAGTTGGTTACAAAAAATAAGGAACATCTGCAATATCACTTGATCAAACAGTTGTCCAATCACTTGAATATTGAGTTTATTTTAAGACAGACGAAAACATATAACAATTTTGGTAAAATATTTTCCACTGACAAAATGTAAATGGGAAACTGGAGTCTACAAAAACTCCTAGAAATGACTAGGGTCTGATTTCAATGTGCTGACTTTGAAAGAGGGCAGATAGAGATGATTGGTTGCATACACTTTTCATTTATTCCAAAAACAAAAATGAAGTCCTCAACATGTAATATCATTTAAAACCATATCGTCACATTCTACGTCACGTTACCCGGGGACTTTCGACAGATTAACGGTCTTCTACATATTTGTCAACATCTAGATTAGAGTTACACTTTTGACCCAAAACGCAACATTGGTATCGCTTGTGCACCGCCTGTTTTAGCTAGAGTTACAGATGCATTGTAGCGTTGTTAGAGATGTCCCGATCCGATCACGTGATCTGGGATCGGAGCCGATCACGTGATTTTCAAAAGATCGGAATCGGGATAAAAAAATCGGGGATCGGGATTTTATTTTTTATATAAAATATTTTTATTATTTTATTTTATTTTACAAAACAAAAATGACCATGTTGACGTAGGAAGGTTGCTTACGTAGTACAAAGCACAAAAATAGGTGAATCAATTTTCCGCCATTTTCCGATTCACAAAACGTTGCGTACCGGCGAGGGAAGTGCGTACGGCACTCCCTACGCCTGTTTCCCTTGATAAATCACAATCGACTCGTAACGCCCATATTTGCCTATACATAGTCAAAGAAACGCCCATTCATTCATTCATTTTGACTGACTGCATGAAGAAGATCGCAGGAAATGACGATAGAACAGCTAAAAAAGACATCTCACACCGTGTCAGATTTTGGTTATTGTGGGGAGGTCGAGATAAATCATATTGTTTGGTGGATGCAGTTTGAACCAGAGTAGCAGCATGGAGGTCGGATCGTCACCAAAATAAATAAGTGGTCCGAAAAAAGTTAATGACAAAACAAATACACATAACCTTCCTCAGGCAGTGTGTTTGTCCCGGGGACAGGAGACACCCCCTTGATGAGAAACTGTAAGAAATGATCGGGGAATCCCTCCGGAGTGGAGTCATGACGACTGGATCTGTATTATTTTGTTGTATTTGGTGGTTTGTGTTCCAGCTGTCGATCAGCAACTATATATACATAATCCACCAGTTAAAGGAAATACAACTAATGGATTGTGTTATATTAGCTGTACAATTTACCACATATGGTGTTCTTAGTTTCCATACCTCCTGTGTTTTACGAGCGACTTATCAAGTCTTGGCAAACGGCATAAAACACGATTAAACGTGATAGTATATAAAACCATGCTCGTATCTACAACCTATAGAAATGCAAAACGGCGTCAGTTTAGACGTAATTCTGTCCTCCTGCTTACCGCATCATTTATGAGAAAACATTTCATAACATTAACACAACATATTCGAGGTGGTTTTAAATAGCATATCCGTATTTATTTCTCCAAGTTATGTTTTTGTGTGCACTGAGGAGTTTCAAACAGGCGTTTGTTTAATCATTTAAAGATTGGCTTTAATCAATGTTTGAAAATGAATTCTTCATATTTGATAAATGAGAGGTAACATTTTATTTATGGTATTATTTCCACATATTTCTCTCCATTCTTCCTTCTGCCAACGGTGTCGCAGTTTCTCGTCTCTCCCGTTTGTGTGCTTAGTGCGTACGCATGGGTTAGAGTTTGCGTGGAGGACAGCACATTTTCCCGTCAAGTTAGTATTTTATAAATCGCAAACATTGCGTAGAAACTGGCGTACGCCATTTTTTGAGCGTATATCCCTTTATAAATGAGGCCCCAGATCTTTGTTTGTCTTGTCAAGCGGCTTGTTTTCAAGGAAGTTCTGTAGGGGAAGTTATCTCTTACATTAATTTCTTGCAATGCAGTAAAGACAGCAGGAACAGTTGGTTACAAAAAATAAGGAACATCTGCAATATCACTTGATCAAACAGTTGTCCAATCACTTGAATATTGAGTTTATTTTAAGACAGACGAAAACATATAACAATTTTGGTAAAATATTTTCTACTGACAAAATGTAAATGGGAAACTGGAGTCTACAAAAACTCCTAGAAATGACTAGGGTCTGATTTCAATGTGCTGACTTTGAAAGAGGGCAGATAGAGATGATTGGTTGCATACACTTTTCATTTATTCCAAAAACAAAAATGAAGTCCTCAACATGTAATATCATTTAAAACCATATCGTCACATTCTACGTCACGTTACCCGGGGACTTTCGACAGATTAACGGTCTTCTACATATTTGTCAACATCTAGATTAGAGTTACACTTTTGACCCAAAACGCAACATTGGTATCGCTTGTGCACCACCTGTTTTAGCTAGAGTTACAGATGCATTGTAGCGTTGTTAGATGTCCCGATCCGATCACGTGATCTGGGATCGGAGCCGATCACGTGATTTTCAAAAGATCGGAATCGGGATAAAAAAAATCGGGGATCGGGATTTTATTTTTTATATAAAATATTTTATTTTATTTTACAAAACAAAAATGACCATGTTCACGTCTTAAAGTCATCCTGAGGCCTTAGTTTTGGTTTAAAATTACACAACATCATGTATGTGTTGCTTCTTTTGGGCTTGTTTTCATAGACCTGGGGCCTCATTTATAACGCCTTGCGTAGGATTGACGTAGGAAGGTTGCTTACGTAGTACAAAGCACAAAAATAGGTACATCAATTTTCCGCCATTTTCCGATTCACAAAACGTTGCGTACCGGCGAGGGAAGTGCGTACGGCACTCCCTACGCCTGTTTCCCTTGATAAATCACAATCGACTTGTAACGCCCATATTTGCCTATACATAGTCAAAGAAACGCCCATTCATTCATTCATTTTGACTGACTGCATGAAGAAGATCGCAGGAAATTACGATAGAACAGCTAAAAAAGACATCTCACACCGTGTCAGATTTTGGTTATTGTGGGGAGGTCGAGATAAATCATATTGTTTGGTGGATGCAGTTTGAACCAGAGTAGCAGCATGGAGGTCGGATCGTCACCAAAATAAATAAGTGGTCCGAAAAAAGTTAATGACAAAACAAATACACATAACCTTCCTCAGGCAGTGTGTTTGTCCCGGGGACAGGAGACACCCCCTTGATGAGAAACTGTAAGAAATGATCGGGGAATCCCTCCGGAGTGGAGTCATGACGACTGGATCTGAATTATTTTGTTGTATTTGGTGGTTTGTGTTCCAGCTGTCGATCAGCAACTATATATCCATAATCCACCAGTTAAAGGAAATACAACTAATGTGTTGTGTTATATTAGCTGTACAATTTACCACATATGGTGTTCTTAGTTTCCATACCTCCTGTGTTTTACGAGCGACTTATCAAGTCTTGGCAAACGGCATAAAACACGATTAAACGTGATAGTATATAAAACCATGCTCGTATCTACAACCTATAGAAATGCAAAACGGCGTCAGTTTAGACGTAATTCTGTCCTCCTGCTTACCGCATCATTTATGAGAAAACATTTCATAACATTAACACAACATATTCGAGGTGGTTTTAAATAGCATATCCGTATTTATTTCTCCAAGTTATGTTTTTGTGTGCACTGAGGAGTCTCAAACAGGCGTTTGTTTAATCATTTAAAGATTGGCTTTAATCAATGTTTGAAAATGAATTCTTCATATTTGATAAATGAGAGGTAACATTTTATTTATGGTATTATTTCCACATATTTCTCTCCATTCTTCCTTCTGCCAACGGTGTCGCAGTTTCTCGTCTCTCCCGTTTGTGTGCTTAGTGCGTACGCATGGGTTAGAGTTTGCGTGGAGGACAGCACATTTTCCCGTCAAGTTAGTATTTTATAAATCGCAAACATTGCGTAGAAACTGGCGTACGCCATTTTTTGAGCGTATATCCCTTTATAAATGAGGCCCCAGGGGCCTCATTTATAACGCCTTGCGTAGGATTGACGTAGGAAGGTTGCTTACGTAGTACAAAGCACAAAAATAGGTACATACATTTTCCGCCATTTTCCGATTCACAAAACGTTGCGTACCGGCGAGGGAAGTGCGTACGGCACTCCCTACGCCTGTTTCCCTTGATAAATCACAATCGACTCGTAACGCCCATATTTGCCTATACATAGTCAAAGAAACGCCCATTCATTCATTCATTTTGACTGACTGCATGAAGAAGATCGCAGGAAATTACGATAGAACAGCTAAAAAAAGACATCTCACACCGTGTCAGATTTTGGTTATTGTGGGGAGGTCGAGATAAATCATATTGTTTGGTGGATGCAGTTTGAACCAGAGTAGCAGCATGGAGGTCGGATCGTCACCAAAATAAATAAATAAGTGGTCCGAAAAAAGTTAATGACAAAACAAATACACATAACCTTCCTCAGGCAGTGTGTTTGTCCCGGGGACAGGAGACACCCCCTTGATGAGAAACTGTAAGAAATGATCGGGGAATCCCTCCGGAGTGGAGTCATGACGACTGGATCTGAATTATTTTTGTTGTATTTGGTGGTTTGTGTTCCAGCTGTCGATCAGCAACTATATATAATCCACCAGTTAAAGGAAATACAACTAATGGATTGTGTTATATTAGCTGTACAATTTACCACATATGGTGTTCTTAGTTTCCATACCTCCTGTGTTTTACGAGCGACTTATCAAGTCTTGGCAAACGGCATAAACACGATTAAACGTGATAGTATATAAAACCATGCTCGTATCTACAACCTATAGAAATGCAAAACGGCGTCAGTTTAGACGTAATTCTGTCCTCCTGCTTACCGCATCATTTATGAGAAAACATTTCATAACATTAACACAACATATTCGAGGTGGTTTTAAATAGCATATCCGTATTTATTTATTTCTCCAAGTTATGTTTTTGTGTGCACTGAGGAGTCTCAAACAGGCGTTTGTTTAATCATTTTAAGATTGGCTTTAATCAATATTTGAAAATGAATTCTTCATATTTGATAAATGAGAGGTAACATTTTATTTATGGTATTATTTCCACATATTTCTCTCCATTCTTCCTTCTGCCAACGGTGTCGCAGTTTCTCGTCTCTCCCGTTTGTGTGCTTAGTGCGTACGCATGGGTTAGAGTTTGCGTGGAGGACAGCACATTTTCCCGTCAAGTTAGTATTTTATAAATCGCAAACATTGCGTAGAAACTGGCGTACGCCATTTTTTGAGCGTATATCCCTTTATAAATGAGGCCCCAGATCTTTATTTGTCTTGTCAAGCGGCTTGTTTTCAAGAAAGTTCTGTAGGGGAAGTTATCTCTTACATTAATTTCTTGCAATGCAGTAAAGACAGCAGGAACAGTTGGTTACAAAAAATAAGGAACATCTGCAATATCACTTGATCAAACAGTTGTCCAATCACTTGAATATTGAGTTTATTTTAAGACAGACGAAAACATATAACAATTTTGGTAAAATATTTTCTACTGACAAAATGTAAATGGGAAACTGGAGTCTACAAAAACTCCTAGAAATGACTAGGGTCTGATTTCAATGTGCTGACTTTGAAAGAGGGCAGATAGAGATGATTGGTTGCATACACTTTTCATTTATTCCAAAAAGAAGTCCTCAACATGTGATATCATTTAAAACCATATCGTCACATTCTACGTCACGTTACCCGGGGACTTTCGACAGATTAACGGTCTTCTACATATTTGTCAACATCTAGATTAGAGTTACACTTTTGACCCAAAACGCAACATTGGTATCGCTTGTGCACCGCCTGTTTTAGCTAGTTACAGATGCATTGTAGCGTTAGCATTACCCTAAATTAAACCTGACTGGATGCTAAATGTTATAATGTATTTGCCAACATCACATTTGATGTCGTGCCATGCGTTTTGGAGGGTGTTACTATGTTCTCACAGGGGCACATCGACAATTATTCTTTTGTTGAATTATATCAAAGAGGATAATGCTAAACAAGGTTAGCTAGCTTACTGTAAACGTTGCAAATAAGTTTCATCGAGCTAACGTTAGCTTAGCAGCTAACTAGTTTCAAAGCCAATAAAGAATTTAGTAAAGTTACCTTCAGTGGTTGAGCCATTCTTCCTTTTTTTACTGATACCCCCTCGTACGCAGAATCACTTTTAAAACCTTGTTAATAAGTAACTACTGAGTCCTGGAACTAACTGCCTCCTGGCTTCAGCACAAACACATATGGCATATCCTTCCTCGTTGAATGAAGACTCCAGTTTGAAAATTGGTGGAAACCTCTCCCGCCAGCTACATTAGCCAATCAAAACGAAGGGCCGCCTGACGTCCCCGTCCAATAAGAAGAGCACAATCCTCTTTTTCAAGAAACAACCAATCACCGCCAGTTTAAGAAGCTTAAGCCCGCCTTCGTTGTGTCTCACGGCGAATCAGCTTCCTAAGATATAGAAGAATAGAATGTTTGCTGAGAACAAATTTGCAGAACAGTTTTATGTATCACACAATCACAAAATGTAATCTAAAAACTGGATCATGATTAAATAACAACAGAAACATCAACCCAACAAAGTGGGCTAAAGAATGCTTTTACAAAAAATAATAAAGATTAACCTTTTCCTAAAAAATATGCCACTTTTATGACATGCACATATTTATTTCAAGAATGATCACTCAGTGTATGAACAGTGATTTGTTATTTATTCTTTTTGTTGTGTAGGCTACTGCCTCACACTAAAAATAGACCATGATATTAGAGTGCTGACTGTGAACTTTAAAGGTGTTAGGGGATGATTATTGGGTGAGCTGTGTTGGAATCAGAGCCCATCTACCCTTGGGGGGTATGTGTAAAAAGGGCTACACTTCACTGGATATTGATTTAAAAACCATTAAACCTGAAAGTCTGCACTATTGCCTCATAAACCTGGTTTCAGTTGTGCACACTGCACACATGTGCTTAACATACTCAGAATGTAGCCTCATATCTTAAACAAATATATTTTGTGGCAAAACTGACCCTTTTTGTCTTTTAAAAGTTTTAATTGAGTATTATTAAACACGCTCTTTCATTAAAGAGCTTCTCAACAGTATTTTAGGTTAAATATATTCAGGAAAGGCGTCAATTCTCCATTTTATTATGGAACAGATAATAAAAAGCTTGTTCACTAATAAGGTGTATTAATGGTCACCAAAGTATAGGCCTGTCTTTATTAAAGTAATATCACACTTTGAAAGCTTCAACATTTTCTTTGAAGTCTTATATGCCAGCCTGTAATCCTGCAGGATTAACAGGGATCAGAAGAACTGTCATATTCACAGCTGCATAATGACATTCAGGCTTCACGGAGTTAAGAGAAGCTGAAATATTAAACATCTGTGCACATTTAATCTTGTCTTAAAGCTAAACCTGCAAAATTGGCAAAATAATTTAACACCTCTCAGAAAAGTCAAGTGTTCATCAGCAGAGGAAGTACTTGTATCAGCCAAAGTACAGCAGGTGACGGCAGCTTCTGACACTCAGGAGCAATACCTTAAGTACTGCAGATGTAAATGCATGGAGGTACTATAATGAGGGAATAGTGGGCTCAAAATGTATCACCTTTAAACCATCAGGAAGTCAACAGTAGTCACAGACACAGTTCAAGATAGATATTTATACCAGTTAAGTCAAAACTAAAGGTACAAATTAAAATATTTCATTCTGGCTGCTGAAAAGGGAAAGAAGAACCCACATTTTCTCAGTATTGTTTAATGATAATTCCATCGTCTTATGTGTACCTTTTAGTAAGGTACAAACCATTACAAACAAATAAACAAAATATAACTTGACATCAAGTGTTTTCTGGGAGTGCAGCTTTCCATTTTATGCTTAATTTATCAATATTCTCTCCCAATGCCTATCTTGTCTCTCCCTTATTTCCTCTATCTCTCTATCACACTGTACATGATAGCTGCCTAAAAGCTATTTAATGGTTAATCAGTTTATCTCCCCTGAAGTGTTTCGTTGTGGTTCCATGAAAGCCCTCGACTGGTGTGCTTTTGCAGCAGTGAATCATCGAACAGAGATTTCCCTCTTGTCAGCAAAGTAAATCAGAAGTGCCAGATCTAAGAAAGCATTACATAGAAAAAGACAGGATTTGATTCGATACTAAGCAAACTTGAGCTATAACATTTCAGCTCCAGGAAGCTATCAGTGAATGGAAATGTGGTTCCCTGATTTATCTAGGCGCTCTATCGTTCTTATCTGTCTTCCTCTGCTATGGTGCCCACTCATCTGACCTTGGCATGATAATAATAGGGTTGAGGAGCGGGAGCTGTAGTCCAGCGGATGTAGTGGAGTGTATTTACACATGTACACCCACAGCTGCGCACATGACTGAATGTGAAGACACACATTACAGTGTGATTTTGCACTTGGCATCTTCAATCCTAAAGAATTAGCCCCTTTAGGAAATACAAAGGAAGCTTCTTTGATCCTTTCTTTATATGTACATCACAATAATTACAGAATACTTTGGACTACTGTACCCGGAGAAGACAATTCAAGCCCAAAATGTGCTTTTTTAGCCTATATGCACTGAATCAGAATTGTGTACAGGAGCTGTGAGAAGTATAAAGCAACAAAGCAATAGCAACATATATAGATACAGATACAAAAATGTAATTTGTGAGTTTTAGAGTCACTGGAACCATTCGATATAGTATAGCATACAGAAAGCCTTGCTAGCACGTTAAACAACTAGCCAGGCCTAGCTTAGCATAAAGATGTCTTGCAGGTTAAAAAGCTAGCCAGGCTTTATGTTTGCTAAGCTAAGCTAGAGGAATCACTCTTTTGTATTTTATAAGAGAACATGAGCATATTTGCCAAAATGTCTAGCTATTCCTTTTCATGGTAAAATGCTACAAACATGTAGCTGACATGGAATACGTTGTTGGTTCTGTTTGTGACTTTGTTCATTTGTCATCAGGATAAGGGAGAAATAACTGCCTTGATTTCATCAAAACCTGGTGGAAGGGTGAAGCGTCGGTCAAGGAAGGACCCATTACATTTTGGCGCGGTCGGTTACACTCATTCTTTTTCACTTGAGGGAACATCCTTTGAAGAGGTATTTGCTCTCTGAGTGCCCTTCTACTTTACAATACCTATCTCCAGAGTACATACACTTCTAAGGGTATTTAAGGGAATAAAGATACATATGTTGTTGTTTGCAAGTATACTATTACTATTCTAATCCTGTAACCCACTCACACACAGATTCACTCACAGACTTCCTCTTATCTAGTAGTGGGCAGCTTGAAATGGGGAATACTAAGTACTTGGCTTCCAAAGATAGACACCCATCTGAAGTTTCTGAGAGACATTAGCAAAGTAGATGGACACCCGTGCTCTCGGTCCGACCTGCATTCCTGTTTATTTATTGATGGCCCTGTGTTGTCTGAGCTGGACTATTGGGGAAGAAAGAAATCTCATGTGTCATAGATCTGAGGCTAGCTTTCTAAAGGACAGGGCTGTTTGTGCAGCTTGATGTCATACAAGGATATAGACGCTTCACGGATATTAGGGTGACAGGCAAACAACAGCGGACTCCAGCTGAGCACTTGGCAGACATGTCAGACCTTGTTCGTGTTGCAGATGACAGGCAGCAATATTTTCTCTTTTTTTATCTATTTTGGCACTCCAGCCTCAAAGACAAGGATATATGATTGGACAGTTAGAGCTCTTTGAAAGCTCACACGAAAATACATTTATAAATAGTACAGCAAAACGTTATCTATTTGAGGCATTTGACTGTTGCTTTTGTCATAAATGCACGTAAATAGGACCACATTTTGGGAATATCATAGCCTGAAGTGAATTGCCACTACTTGATATTAAAGGAATAGTTTGACAATTTGACAACATGAAAAGATTTACATTTAAAGATCAATTTATTCACTGTATGTAAGTCGCTTTGGATATGAGTGTCAGATAAATTATATATTGTTACGCCAGAGTGTAGGTGTATACATTACATGTTACTTGTTAGACGCTTTTATCCAAAGCAACTTACATACTCCCCACAGGAGCAATTTGGGGTGAAGTGTCTTGCCCAGGGACACAACGACACCGCTGACTGCAGTGGGGTTTGAACCTGTGACCCCCTGATCCGAACACCTACGGACAACCCACTACGCCACACACCTCCACATGAGTGGAGTAATCTGCCAACATTTGATTTGTAAATTGTTTTTACTTTCATCCAGAATGTTAATGTTGGGTTATGGGTTTTCTCCGGAGTTCATTCCATTATGAGTTTGCGTCAGTGAATTAACTTGACTCCATCTCACTGTTTCTGGGTAATTATTTCCTGGCAAAGACTAGTTTAATTTCTTCCTGCAGGTGTTAGATGATCGACAGGAAGTAGAGTATGTAGAGCGTAATGTGCATAGTGATATGAATAAACTCAATTTGAATGAATTTATGATGGAAAATAGAGAATTGAAATTGCAGCTTTGTGATTACTGTGCTATGTTGCTCTTATTCATTGTTTTAATTGGAAATTATTAATTATAAGGTTGTCACTTTTGAATATTTAAACCTTTCCTTTTCAGTTTTGAGGAAAGTAAATACGATCTACAGAGGGTAGCTTCTAACATTTAGAGCACTGAAAGACTTCCAGACTATTTTTTCACCATCATAGCAGAAGTGTCCACAACTGTCTAAACATGACCTTTAAGGAGAACCCCCCTCCCTGTGATTGTGAATACGTCTGAGAGGCACAATGAAGGAGTCAAAATTATTAATTACTTTAAAAGGGCAGTGGAAAACAGCTTTACCCACCTATATCCTGTGTTGGCAGGCAAACAGCAGGGAACTATAACAACTTAACATTTAAGATGCCATACATCACAATCTCTGACGCCACTTTGTTAATTACACTTGTGAGAAATGTAACCCTGAGGTGTGCACAGAAACAACAGCTCAACATTTGCAGCAAATAAAACGTTGTATTTAAAGTCTGCAGGGTAAGTATTTTCAGTCAAGGTTTTGAGCAAGGTCACACCCTTTTATGGATTCAAGAAAGGAAGCAGATTTGATTAACCAGCTTCATCAGCAGGCAGAGTGAATTATAGATTACTCTGACCTCCTTGTAGTGTTCATTGTGTCAGCTTTTTATATTTAGTGTGAGTACTGTGTCAAATGTCCTTGTTATTTTATTTATAGTAAGTCAACCTTGTCCTTTATTTGTCAAATTCCAGCTACATTTCTGGGCAATTTAATCTTATAAAACAAAAACATTATTTTAGGTCTAGTTCTGGCAATGGAACAGTTGAGGTTTTAGCTTTTAGCTTTTAATGGTCACCGTATTGTTTTTAACATTGCAGTCTTCTTATAGAGTCCAGACAATATCAATGATTGTTTCTTTCCCACAAGCACTGTTATTGTCGTCATTGTCCACTTTGACTTAAGTAAGTGACTCCGCGTCCTCCTGTCTTAGCTCATTGTTGGCTGACAGTGTAGTTTTGAATTTGTGCAACACAAGATACGAAACTACAGACATAAATAGACATTTTGGCAAAGTTCTTTACTTTTAAATTACATTTTAATCTCGTCTTTTTTTTGTCAACTAATATTAGATGTTGTCATAACAGTTAGCTCTTTGAAGTGCCGTCTTGTCCTTTCTCGTCTTAGTCATAGAAAAAAAGATTGTTGACGGACACTTTTAGTATTGTGTTTGTTAACGTTAAAAGCCATGTTCAATAGTATTGACTGGAAAAGGTCAATGGTTGTGTGCTCATAAATTGTACCTCCGCATGCATCAGTTGCGTTTAGACACCATGCTAGATTCAAGCAGTCGCTCACGAAATGAAGATAGTCAACAGTATAACCTCTGTTGCTGATTAATGCCAGGACCTTTTTATCGTCACTGTTCCCGTGTTAGCATGCTAATACTGCCTTTAAACTCAAAGCACCACTGTTTTGTCAACCTAAATAGAGCCTGGCTGGAGCATAGCTGTAGCAACAAATGTAATAGTGTCAGAGTCCTGAAGATGTACAAATAAAAACTGTAATTTAAATAAAAAAAGGCAAAGATAACTTGTTTTTAAGCATCCATCTCGTGACCCTTTATTCTTTTGGAAACACATTTGAAAATATAATGAGCTTATACAAGCTATAAGAGCATTGCACCATTCAAGGTCTGCTTTTGCTGAAGACTAAAGACTCCTGTGGTTTTAATATTTCGAAGAGACTCACTTGGCCAGAGCTCTGTCAGGGGGGAATTCAACAAAGATCAATGCATACCCACAACGCTTTCATATGGCTATTCTATTCTTCCCTTAATGTCAATGATATCAGACTTCAAAGAGCAGGATCTTCACAGCGAAGATGAGGGGAAGTGACCCCCCCTGTTACAGGCAGTAGCAAGGAAAATCATTTTAAAACACCTTTCTCACAGTTTTTTGATTAAAAGCTTCAAGGAAATAAATAAATAAAGTGCAGGGTAATGGTGTATTCACAAAGACGAGGCAGGACTTTGATCTTACCCAGGGACGAGGAGTACGCTGGGAGCCAGGGACAGAGTGTATTTGTGTGTGCTCATATGCATATATGTGTTCTTGTGGGAGCAGGCAGGACAAAGTAAGATAAAACATGAGAATGAAAGGGAGAGATCTCATTAATATGGGTCTTCTTGTTTCACTGAAACTCAGAGCACAGTTAAGTCGAATGCAAAACATTCCTACCCCGTTGAGATGACACTATAACGTTGGTTTTCACAGCCAAATTCCCATTGTTTTCGTGGATTAATGACAGTCTGCAGATATGCCACCTGCACAGGTAACAGTGTAACACAAAGGATCCTATGCCTGCTTTGAGACACTTGACGAGCTGGAGAAGAAAAAAAGCAAGGAGGGGAGAAAAGGAACTTTGATCCACTTGAAAGTGTAGTCTATCAGGACTAATGCTGGGTTGATAATGCATACAGCGCCCGTCTATCTGCCAACCAAAGCAGAGCATTTGAAGTAATCTGATAAAGCCCGGGGAAGACTGACTGACAATGCACTCTCCTCTGTCGATGAGGAACGTAATCCTATTTTCTGCTGTTTCACAGTCACATGCTCTTCCACCTATCTGATCGTCTTATAATTGACAAGAGCAGCGTCTTAACCTCCAGGCTATAGATGGAGGAACTATAAAGCAGCAACAATGAACAAGGAGTTATATGTGTTTGGACTTAGCTACAAAAATATGTAATGTTAGCATGTCATAATGCATGCAAAATATTCCGTTTTCGCTTACACATCAACAGTTTATTGTAACATCGTGATCACCCTTTTCACTGTGGAGATAATGAACATGAGTTCTCTGCTGGAGTCCAATGAGTCCAAAGAAATAAAAGCTTCAGCAGACTTGGAAACAGCTCAACCAAATCTTAATCAGCAAAGAAATAGAGGGCTAAATAAATGAAGCCATTACATGTTGCAGAACAAATAACCTAATATGAAAGACTGAGACTCTGAACCAGTTTTTTGCCTGGGCCCTAGCAACCAACCATTTATCTGAGTTATTTGTGGAAATGATTCAACTCAAATGTGTTTAAAGGGGGCTTTCTTCTGGCAGAGCTGGTGTTATGGCTGCCTCACCAAAATGACACTGGTGTTAGTTATTCCCCTTTAGTTTAAGAAAACAAAAGCATTTACTCTTGGCTCATCCAGTGGAATATTAAGAATATAAAGATGACAGGGCCTCGGGATTAGAATCGGAATTGGGGTGATTAAAGATTCATGCAAGCAAGGAATTTGCTTCGGTGTAAATTGTGCATATATTAACACAAACACAGTCAGAGGAAGTACATTTTAGAAATGGAGCTAAAGTATATTATAAAAATAGAGAAAACAATTCTAAACAAATGCATGAACAACCCAAGCACCCTTTAGTTTTTATTGGTGGTGTTACAAAATTACAAATAGTTATACTGCCACACCCACAAACAGGGAACCTGATGTCCAGGGCTCTTACATCCAGTGTTTACCAACTTACACAAATAATTAGAGAAAGAAAGAAAGAAAGACCCTGGCTGCAGTAAATCATTCACAGGCGTTCCCTCCCAGAACACCAGGGAGGGAGTTTGGGTGGAGTATCCCACTTCATTGATTTTAATTCCATTAATACCTTATGACCGGCTGCTTGGCTGGCTCTCCCTGGCAGTTGCCCATGTACGCCTGTCTCCATCGTGGATTTGATTGGACTTCCTTATCGGCTGGCAGCAGGCATGAAAAGGCCCGGAGGCGGCCAAAGATCCACCGCCCTGGCAGCCAGGCCGCATGTTTGAAACAACAAGCTGCAGATCAAACATGATTAGTGTGGGCGGACAACCCTCCCACCACACCATAATCCACTGGTAGAATGTAACTAATATACTCAAGTAAGAAATATCATTATTTCTACTCAACTACATGTATTTACCACACTTTTACTGGATAAAAACACATGATGTTGATATATGATATGATGCCATACTGTACCACTAGTCCATCCAGTATTTTTAAAATGTTCTAAAATTGTCTCCGCATTTATAAACCACAACAATAAAATGCTTGTACATGTATTAGGTAGTGATAAAAACAAGATAATATAATCATTTTAATATTTAATATTTGCTTCTGTTACCTGGCTGCTACTTAAATATTTGTTTATGTTCTACTTAGTTTTTGCAATACTTGTATTGGATTTTTATTTTATTAATGTGGGCTTGCCACTTAATTCAATACTGTTTTATTTTTGTTTAACTATGTAAATACCTCTCTGGGGGACAAATAAGGATTTCTAATTTTGTATCTATTATATTATAACATAATCTTGTGAAGAGGCATTCTGCATAATCAGTTGCTTTTGATCATTTAAGTTACTTTAGCTAATAACACTCCTGTGCATCTACTTTAGTAACATTTGAATTCAGGACTCTAATTTGTGTTATGATATTTTAATTCCATAGTATTTTTAGACTTTTACTTCAGTAAAGGACCTTCTACCTCGTCATGATGTATGAGATCACTTCTGTGAATGTGTGTGTGTGTGTGTGTGTGTGTGTGTGTGTGTGTGTGTGTGTGTGTGTGTGTGTGTGTGTGTGTGAGGGAGGGAGGGAGGTGTACCCCTTACTTTACTGGCAGCTGGTGCAGGCAGATCCACTTCACTCACAGCAGCTGCATCTGAATGAATGTAATCACTCCCTCCATTACATATTTTTGCCGTAATGCATTTCGAACAGCAGCGGTAGCAGCGACCAAATGCAGCCACTCAGCATTTCTGCCTAATGCATTGCGTGCCATGTGTCTGCCATTTTAAACTTTGCATTCATGTTTTTGTTGGTCACATCCAGCCTTAAAGTCAGTGAGAAAGCCTTGCCCTCGGTGTTGCCTAGTTTTGTGGTTGCGTGGAAACTAAACGGCTGCACTCAGTGAGCGAGCCCTGAACTGAGCATTTCCAGCGGCGCGTGGTGGCTGCCCACAAGAGCGGCTCTCTGCACAAGTTTAACGAGGACCTGATGGAGGAGAAGCGAAATATTGACCGAACCGCCTTCCGGGGATTTCTCTGATCCGCCGGAGCATTTCACTCCCTGACGCTTGCTGAGGAACACACCATGAAAAGGAGAGGGAAAGCAGCAAAGACGTGAGTGTGTGTATCGATCATCTGTTTTCTTTGTGATATTGCATGCCTTTACGCATTTGCTCAACCTATGAAATAGCATCGGTTTTCCAGTTTTTTTTATACGGGTTTACAAATGTGACTGGTGCTGCACACAATACTGGATGGGACTGGCTAAAACAGGATGAAAGACAAACTTAACAAGGGTATCGGTTCCCTCCTGCATCTCCTTTTATCTCCTGTCCTTTGAGTTCATTTTCCACCAGATGCTTGTTTCTAATGAGTATATTTCGCATGCAATTATACTTGTTGCACTTGAATTAAGCATCCTAAATGTCCCTATCCTATATTGCGTTGTGATTTATGTAAAGTAATAACAACTCCAAGACTAATGCTTAGTATTTAAGATTTTAAACTGATATTTAAATATTTAACAATGGCTATCAAACCCCTATGAATCTCAAACATACATACATTAAATGCCATTACATAAACTGCCATGCTGTAATAAAAGTATATGCTTATTGCCCTCTAAATTAACCGAGTAAGACAATTTTATGTCGTAAAATGGGGTTTTATGGTGTAGTTGAAATCTGCCAAAGCAGTGTTGTGCCTTTTTAAGGAAAAGCAAGAAAAGCGCATCCAAATTGGCATTAAGTGAGGAATTGGCAGTAGAAAGAGCTGAACGCACTGAAATATGATTGCAGTTGCAATAACATTGTGTATTTCAATTTTTTTCAAGTGTTCTTCGGTTCCCTTTCAGTCATCCACACCTCCCATTGATAACTAGAAACCACCTTCTTATTTGCCATTAATGCAGCTGTGATGTGATTCCACGCGGAGGTCAGATTCATATATGGAAAAAAAACTACGTCACAAAACATATTCCCTCGTACATTTGTGTTGCATTTAATTCCTCCCAAGTTTATGTCTGGCTTACCAAATGACTGCTCCTCGTATAATTGGTGCCAGAGAGGTGCAGCACTGGAAGCAGTGAATTTATGAAGTGTGAGATTGACCTTTTGGCTGTGAGAGCGCTGTATTTATTGTTTAAATTAAAAGCAAGAAAGATTATTTATCACATCAGTAATGAATAAAGGATCACGGATGAAGACCTCATCAGATTTAGAGGCCACCTAATTTATTGCATTTACTTGTGTGTGGTTATCTCATGCACTATATTCTCCTTCCTCTACCCTTTGTTCTTTCACTGCCAGTTGTCTTCATCAGCTGTCCTTGTGAATGACTAACATTTGCCCCTTTTCCCAATGTCTCATTAGTGTCACGCACTGTTCTCTGCGTTGTTATTGTGCTGTTACCCCCTCTCCTTAAATCCTCTTGATATCATTCGTTCTCTCACAACCCTGTGCTGCTGCTGTGTCCAATTTCCCTCTGTGCCCACATGCTTTCTCCTCCTCCGTCACCAGCCTTCTGCTCCTGCTCCCCCATTATCTTAGCAAAATACCAGGCTGGCATACTGTGTGACGGGAAAAGTACAGCCTTTACAGGAACATAACGATACCCATTTAGTTCAGGCAAGACTTTTATATCCTTTGCTGGTATTTTACTTCCTAATGCACCCTGCTGACATAAAGCGCAGAGGGTAATCTTTAGGAAGTTGCTTCGCTTAATGAAGATGGAAAAGCATCTCATGCTAAACTACCTCAGTTAGAGCATCTAAATAGCAGAGCCTTCTTCTGTGCTTTGCTCCGGTGCATCAGCCTCCATCTCGCCCTCATTATTGGGTTTGTCTGGCAGGCATCTCTTAAACCTGTGTGACACAATGAGTGTTATTAGCTGTGTCTCTTAGACAAGGCATCTGTCCCCGTAACACACACATACAAACCACCATTGCCACTACACACTGTCCTCTACCCCCCCAACGTCATGTGATACTTTGAGGTACTTAGAGATCGATTTCATTTTTTAATCTTGGTAAGTGGATCTTGTCCAGTCTCCAGCCATTTTGAAGAAATTAAGAAGTCCGGTTGAACTCTGTGGTCCATCTTTTTGTCAGACAGGCCATCACATTGTCTGTTTTGGTGGCGTTTATGGCATTAACATTTGCCCCGACAAAAGGATTGGGTGGCCAACACCGATGCTACATTGACTTAAGGAGTTTTTCCTTAAGAGGATTAGTAACGGGATAGGAGGTAGCCCTGATCAGGTATTAATGAAGTGTGTTAAGATGGGTAGACCTGCTATTTTCAAAGGCTTACATACAAAATATATAAAGTGTAATTTACCGTACACACAGACAAGCTTTTACCTCTGTGTTACTTGCACTTCTGACCAAATGACCCCATGTACTAGAGACTGCACAGCTTGACAGATAATCTGGAACATTTTTAATGGTCACTTGTAATAAAATGATCCGAATGGCGTCTGTATTTGTGAAAATAACTGGATACATGATATTTTACATTATGAAAAAAATGGATAGTTTTATGTTTTTTTGTTTGGAACATTTGTTCTTCATGGAGTCACATCACTATGTTGATGCCTATCTCTGTGTACTGAAATAGCTCTGCGTTGCAGGGATGGCAATTATAAATGAGGCACAGTGACACCAAAGGTTTTTCTAGCTTGTTTATTTAGTTGGTATGAAGGGAATGTTTGATCCTTAGACTTTACTGGAAATATATCAGAAGTTCAGTATCTGGCCATCATGGTGAAATAAAGCAATCCTGTTCTCGCTGCAATTAGATACGTTTTAGTAGACTACCCCCTGCATTCTGTGTTATATATCACTATGGACTCTGAAACCATTGTTTATCACCCATGTTTTGCTTGGGAAAACTATTTGACAGGACAATCTGCACTGTTGTTCATTTCAAAGGCTAACCTTCCCACAACTGCTAATGTGACTTTTTGTTGTTTTTATGCAACAGGCTCAACAGCTTCTGGGGAGGTTAATGTGGACTTCACCTCCTGCGCCCAGGTGGTCCTTCCTGGAGCATGCACGCATCCCACAATGTCCCTAATTGCAGACTGGTTACTGCGCCACTCAGTGGTCACGTGTTTGCTGCTGCACAGCCTGGTGCTTATGACCTTTTGCTTCCACAATGCTGCCACCAGTTGCTCCAAGAGCTGTTACTGCTCTGAGAGCGATACCGGGGGCAAGACGGTCCGCTGCAGCAATATGCGGCTCACAGAGATCCCCCAGGATATCCCCAATGACACACAACGCGTCTACCTGGACTTCAACCTTTTCACTACAGTCCCAACTAATGCTTTTGTAGGTTTGCCCAACCTAGTTGAACTGGATCTATCGCACAACGAATTGAGCCTGTTAGAACCAGGGGCATTCAGAGGACTTGGACCCTCACTACAGTTCCTAGACATTTCTTCTAACAAGTTAGTGAGCTTTAACCCAGAGGCCTTTGATGGCCTGCGGTCTCGCGCCAACCTAACAAACAATCCTTGGCATTGTGACTGCACCTTGCAGATGGCCTTGCCCCGTGTGGACCTGGAGCCTGCCTCGCTGGCGGGAATCGTTTGCAAGACTTCAGATCCTGAGGAAACGGGAGTTCAAGGACTTGCCTTCCTGTTGGCACCAGCCATAGACCTATGTGTGGTGATGAAGAGGACTACAGATGTGGCCATGCTGGTGGTCATGTTTGGCTGGTTCAGCATGGTAATCTCCTACCTGGTCTACTATGTCAGGGCTAATCAGGAGGACGCCCGCAGACACCTGGAGTATCTCAAGTCGTTGCCAGGCATACCGGGCAAATCAGAGGAGTCTTCTACCATTAGTACTGTGGTATAGGTTGGATGAAACTACACGTGGGACCACTAAACAGGATGGAGCGACGACTACGTGGCCTTCATCAATCTCAGATGGTTTTGCTCAGCTGTTGTCTCTGAGCCAAGGTGGGCAACAAGACATGCGCATCTGCACAAGAAAAACAGGCCGATGCAACCTAGCCAGATGAATAATTCATCATTCAGTGACCCATTAGGAGTTTCTGCTGACTGAGTTGATGGTCTGGTGAGTGCACTAAGGGAGTTAAAGCAAAGGCTGTTTTTGGTGAACTCCAAATATGGGCTACAAATGGGATTTATCCAATGGTGCATACACCTAGATGCACCGAGCCTACACACAGACAATATGAAGCAAACATCATTATGAACGGGAAAAGGTAACACTACAATGAGGAAATTCATGTACAACTGTTTTCCATTACAACCCTTATGGTATCCACCAGTATATTCTAAGTAAAATTATGTTTTCAAATTAAATTGTTGTTTTTTTGAGTTTCTCTTACTGAACTTAGTCAACTGTCTCATGAAAAAATACATACAGTTATTGAGAATGTGAATCACTTTTTAGCAAATGCATATTTAGCTCACTTGGCTGATGAATCACATTGCTGTGTGATGAAGGGCTCATTGGTTATTCTGTGATGTTTTTGGCAGTAGCTACTGTACCAGAGCTCCATACTGATGAGAACCGCAGACCTCCAAGCTGCCTTTGTATGTTAACAGTGTTTGACAGGAAACTCCTACTAGCTCACAATAACCTCCAATTACATCCCTAAATTATCTATCCAAACACTGCAGTACTATACACTGCGTATCAAAAGTTAATTTATCAAATGCCAGTATGAAGAAACTAGGTTTTTGCGGAGGTAACCTGACATCACCTGTCACGCCAGTCACCTAGGACTGATTCGATTTGAGTCCTGTTGGCTGATACCAGAAACACACAGCAGCTCTGGAATTACTCCTCAGCATAATATGCTAATCTTTAGTCACAAGCCAATAGCCCTGCATGCAATATCATGTAATTGTCAGATAAGGTTGGTGAGAAGCAGAGAATTTGAGGTTACTGCAGTTCAGCTGTCATCAAATAGAAAGAGAGAGAGAGTAACTGGGAAACATTTGATCATATTCTGGTTTAAAAAGCCCTTCAGCAAACACTCTCACTCCTTTATCCAGAGCAATTAAGGTAACACAGAAGAACCCTTCATTATCGTACCTTGTTATATAGACAAATTCTTTATTTCTGCACCGATTTTCATTCGCTATGATGCCTTTTAATAAGCATGCCTTTGGGAGCCTCGTTGTCAGATTCAGTCACTCCTATTGGTTTCCCAAATAACATTTATGAGGCCACGACCTGTGGCTCCATTTAAAAGACTTAAGGGATTTAGATCTCTTATTTCAACAGACAGAGTAAAATGCATTTGTGTCTCTTCCAACGAAGTAGTCGATATAAAACTGAGACCTCAAAAAGGGAAATGTTTTTAGGTTGAGGTGTAATTTAATCCACATGAGACTGCTCTAAGATACTCTCTTCTGTTCCACAGAACAAGGTCAGAATAACCCTTTGCAGGCTTCAATAATGAAATTTGATGTTTGAGATGTGGGAAATGGTTTGACAACAAGGATTTCCCTGTCAGACACACGCATGCCTTTAGAGCAAGAGCAGTAGTGATACATTATTTATGATAGCCACAAAAACACTCGAGCAGAAAGTCTGGGATTGACCCATCATCTTGTGTGACCCAGTTCCTGAGGAGAAAAAAGGGAGTGCCAAAGGGGATGAGCTGCCCCCCTCTCTGCTGCCTGGCATACCCTCGCTTGGGTAAAACACTTTCCAAATGTCCTTGGGCTGCTCAGGGAGAGTCAAGAGCGCTCACAGTGGCATCCAAAGTCAGCTCCACCTCATCCTTAAATCCCCTTCTCTCCCAAAGGTAGCACTCTGTTTTCAAAAGAGTAGTTTGAGATCTCGGAAATATGCATATTAGCAACCGCAGGGGGTTGGTTACCATTAGGACATTTTATTTTGTTCGCTTAAGACGTGCTATTAGGCAGATTCTTTCTAGAAAGGTTATCTGTTTCCAGTCTTTATGCTAAGCTAACAAGCTAATAGCTCCAGCTTCTTTTTTAGCATAAAGACATGAAAGTGATATCAATCTTTTTACAAAATTCCAGAATGTTCAACAATTTCTTTTAAAAAAAAAAACAGAAGAAAAGTCAAAAAGAAACGTTTAGGAGTTATTTTATGTTTACTAAAATAAAGAAGATGTCAACAGTGTTTGTTAGACATGTTGTTTTTGCCATCTGTTCATCTTGTTGTGCTTGACAGCACCATAGTTTCTATTAACAGGCTGAGTTTGTTTGACAATATTGATCTTGACAGAGGTAATCTTAAGGAAGCAGGTACAGCCACCCATGATGAGCAGGAGGTTTAACAGTACTGAAAAATAGATGGTAAGCCTCTCTCTTTGACATTTCCTGACACACACAGCTCCCTCCTTCGCTCTTTCCTCTGATTACAGGCTCTCACGGTGGCTTTGAAACACAGGACTAGCAACAGAAATGGCTGACTGTATTCTGTTCAGCTAATGTAGGTGGATGCACACGTTCTTTTGTTCGCCTATGTACGACAGGTGTGTGTGCCTGGCGGCAGTGAGGGTTCGTGTAATGTAACACCGCTGTTCCCCAGCACACATAAATGTCACTGAGGTTAATTTAAATTTCAGACGAGCTCAGTTTGCCCCGCCTGCTACCTTAGACACGTTACACTGGTGTGAGCATTACAACTGCTGGGTAATGGGACACAAAGTGGGGGATAAGGTGACGCATCCAATCCCACAGAGCGCAGCCCTGTTTGGGGTTGGGTTGCAGGTGAAAATGTTTCCAGGCTCTGAGATCACATGGGGTCTCCCAGTGAGGGCCTGTCTCAGCACCTGATTTCCACCTTCAGCCAAAAAAGGTAAGCGACACCTAAGACGCAGCATCTGAGAAGAGTGACAAGGACATCCTTGTCAATATTTTGTAAAGGTGTCCTTTTTCTGATGCCCTTGGAAGGGATGAAACCAAGTCCAAATGAATGAAGAAAAGGTCCTGACTTCAGTTAGTGCAACATGGCTCCCCCTGTTGTGGAGTTTGTGAATGTGAAGAAAATAAATACATTTCTCCTAAAAAAACAACACGCAGCACATTCCCTCATCCTACAGACCTCACTTAAACATTAATGTTTCTCAATAATGGTATTAAGCCATTGGTGGGCCCAAAGGACATCAGCTGTAGACCCTCACTGAGCCTCCATGTTGCTGTAGATTAGTTTGATTTGATTAAACTCAAGATTGTGAAAGTGGAAACAAACCTTTTTAATTCTCCCAACTATAGCGTTTCCAAGCGTTATATTGTACTGTTGATCGCTACTGTCCAAAATAATAAACAACTATATCAATTCCAAATAACTATAATCCCTGATCTCAATGCTTAAAATAAAGTTAGGGGCTCGTTTGCTGGCTAGAGTATCCGCAGTTAAAATGAATCTGGTTGTTCTGCTACTTGGGAACAGCTAGCTATTTTGTTGGGTTACCTCTTGGTGAAATGCTCTTTTGACAGGGAAGTAATGTAATCTATATGTCTGGGGCTTTTATTGTAAAAGGAGGTTGCAGGCAGAATTGCATATTGGAAGCATTACTTGCAGGGAACTAAATTAAGAGCCACTAGTGTCATTATATCCAGCCATTATCTTGTTCAATCAATATTCACTTCCTGAAGATGAGTTGTTTTCAGTGTAAAGAATGAGCTGAAGTGCAGGATCTCCTGATATAATCCCCTAAAATATGTCAAATGTAAAGTTGAAGTGCCTGACCCCAATGTACAAGTGAATACTTATAAAGCTTTTACACATTAAATTAATATTGCAATTGCACTAAAGACATTCATGAGTGATTATTCGTATACTATACATAGCTAAAGCACAAATGGTGAAAAGGCTGAAATATTGACCGGTTTTAACATATACACAATGGCATATATAACTGTTGCACAGAACTTGGATATGTATGTTGAACATCGCTCTATGGATCATAAATCTAGATTCAGAGGTGTGACCTACTTACTATATAATATAGGTCAAGATTGTTATTTTGGATATACCCTCAGGGATTTATCATCTTTTGGGAATTCTGTAAAAGCAAACTGTTAATATAAGGAATGCATGATTAATTTCTCATTAATAGTTTCATGTATAGATCGCAATCTGAATATGTGCCCAAATATGTAACTGGCTTGTTTGAAAGGTGTCTTGTATGCGATTTATATTGCGTCATAAATCATGTCATTGTCATGTTTGTTGTGAGATCATTTTCTGAGAAATCCTGTTTAAACTGCTGAGGAAGACAGGAGTGCTCGCATACTTTGGTCATCAGCATAACCACCTAATTCTGCCTTAATTCCTTCTAAAAACACATTTTGCAATTCCATGGCTCCGTCCTTTTTCATGGAAAAGCATTACTCACTCCATGAAAAAACATGACACAATTGGACAAGAGCTGGTTTCAAATAAATGGAATCTGGACACAATCTTTGCTGGCAGTCTGAGCATATCAACACATCATTTTTGTCTTGAGATCTGATGTAAAAACAGTCCAGGTTATTGGATTTGCCAAAAACGGGGAAAACATCAACCATTGAGTGGAAAAGAATCTGTAGCATTCAGAAATTGGTGGGAATACATAAGGTATTTGAACATCAAGGGAACTATCTTTCTGTTCTGTTCAGGCTAATACCTCTACATTTTTTAAATAACTTATTGACTTAAGTGCTAAAATATCGTAGTAAATTAACACAATGTATCTCTTAAACCAGAAGAAATGTGATATTGGCACATTTTTGTGAAAATTAGAAGTGGTCCCAGGACCCAGATTATCCCTAAACCTCTAGACCGAGTAATTTTACAGCCATCTTTGTGCTCTCTAGAAAACCAGGTCCTTTCAAAGGCCTCCTGGGTAATCAGGAAAACAAATCAGTATGTCATAAAAATGAGAGAGGGCTCAATGAAAAAAGCCCTTTCTGCTTTCATTTAGGCTAATCTCCTTGCCTGCCATTTTACAACCCCTCTTGACCTCTGCAATCCCGTCAGATTTACATGTAGGGCCATCTTCAAAAATGCTCATTCCTGCAGAAACTTAATTTAAATTCCTATTAAATTAAGCATAAGGGTGTGTGCTTTCAAGGGTTAAAAGGCAGGACATGATTGTGCAGCTTCTCCATGTCCAACATAAGGTGAGCTAGCACCTCTAAAACCAAATAGTGTTTCCAACTGGGTCATTGAAGGGGCCACAGAGCGAGGCCTCAGCAGTGAATAATGCCGTTCTTTCATGTGCAGGATTGATTGGAGATCGGACCAGTGTGGATTTCAGGGATCAGATTTGACAGCTTCACTTCACAGCCTATCAAGCATAGCCAGATGTAACATATCTACACTGACTGATCAAGGGGCCTCGTGTCAGAGCATGAAGAAAACCGATCTGTTACAACAGAGGCACAGCATTGACCTATGAGGTGATTACATAACTCCAAACGCAATGGCATAACTCGATTCTACAATTTTTGAAACAAGGATTTAATTATTATCAAAAAGGAAGGTCTTAAGCCGTACTCTTAAAAACGGATAGGCTGTCTGCCGCCCGAACACAAACTGGAAGCTGATTCCACAAAAGTGGAGCTTGATAAGAAAAGGCTCTGGCTCCCATTGTGTTTTTAGAGACTCTAGGAACAACCAACAACCGTCCATTCTTGGAACGCAATGTCCTAGTTGGACAGTAGGGTAGAATGAGTTCCAAACATGTTGTCTGCCTGTGCTGGAAAATGTATTATCTCTTCGATTTTCACACGGCATCTATTGCACGTCTGTCCGTCCTGGGAGAGGGATCCTTCCTCTGTTGCTCTCCCTGAGGTTTCTCCCATTTTCCCCTTTAAACTGTGGGGTTTTTCCTCTGGAAGTGTTTCCTTGTACGATGTGAGGGTCTAAGGACAGAGGGTGTCGTATTGTCATACTGATATTCTGTACAAACTGTGATGTCCACTGAGACAAATGTAACATTTGTGATATTGGGCTATATAAATAAACATTGATTGATTGATTGATTGAAGAATTTCCAAAATACTCTTATCCACTGTTTTGAGGATAGTTAGATGAAACAATTATACTACTTTTATGTCTCTGTGCTAATGTAGGGTGGAGCCAGCATCTTGGTAGCCTAGCTTAGCATAATGACTGGAAACAGGGGGAAACAGCTAGCCTAGCTATGTCTAAATGTAAAAGCCAGTCAACCATTGCTCTCTACATCACTTATTACCATGTGTATATTGTTTGTTAAATCCATAAACTTACTTTAAAACCGTAAGTATGTTTCTTGGCTGGTGGCAGTGACATATAAGCTAGCTTTTTTCCCCCAGTCTACAGTATTTATGCTAAGCCTATTGAGTACCATGGGTGCTAAGCTAAGGTATCCTCTCCTGATGGTAGCTTCATATTAAGCATAGGCCTACAGACACAAGAGTGGTATTCATTTTGTCATCTAACTTTTGGAAAAATGTCAAACCAATCTTTAAGGCAAGGATCAACTAAAAGCACATTTGTATCAAAGAACATGTTGTCACAAGATGGCGATATCTTTGCTCAGTTTGATGAATAATGCTTTTCTCTGTACTTTGACCTTTGAGAGATTTCTATTTTAAATGCTTTTAACAGAGTGTAACATCACAGCTGAGGTATCATTTATAAAACTCATGATTCCACCAGATGGCACTCTTGTCTCTGTCAAGCCAGTGTGTTTCTTTTCTCCCCTCCTATTTACTATAACTGTACACAACGCCTGGTGGGCTCACTTCCTGTGTGGTGGATCAGGATAATTTGCAGGTAAGTCAAATCCCAGAGCCTTGAAATTGGTGCAACAGGTGCCACAATTGAAATACACTTGTAAATGCCATATTTCTCTTTTAGACGTTTTGTTTGTGGTGGGCTGTTTCTTTACAAACAGGAAAATACAGCTGTGTCAGTAGTGTAAATGCAAATCAGTTGGAAATGTCCAATCTATTAATAGCAAGATGCAAGCCAAGAGTGAGTAGCCACAAAGGAATCACAATGACCAAAAAACATACCGGGTTTCCTTTCAAAAAGTCCTAGATTTCATAAACACTTGTGATTTGAGCATTTAAACACTTTCAATTTCCATTTCCCTCTTCACAGCGGTCAGTGGAAAAGCCTGTATGACTCTGAACTTAACTACAGGCTGGGTTACATCAATGTCAAATATCAGAAATGGAGGAATTCCCAAAATCTCTTGAATTGTGTTACTCTGGAGGCTTTTGTAGAAAATGTAATTGCATAATAGAAAAAAAACATATAGAGTCATCAATACTTTCACCCTCTTAATTTAAATTTCGGTTATTTTATCCTTCTTATATATATATATATATATATACCATATAGTCACTGTAATGTTTAATAGTTCACGTTTTATTCCTATTTTTGTATGTTATGTGAAGTCAGTTGAAGAAAAATGTTATAACAAATCAAATTCACTATAATGTTGAGACCAAAATTGTTAAACAAATCCATCAAAGAATAATGTGCTTAAATTAAATGTCCTTATTTTCAATAACCACTATTTAGACCCAGGTAAGTAAGCTTTATTTAACAAAATAAGTCAAATGGCTTTGAATGAAAATGTGCAATTCATGAATCGCTCATATGGTAATAGGATGACCAAATTATGGGAAATCCCTATTTGGGCCTGCAGCCTATATAAGACTATAAGTGTACTATTAATCATGAATAGTGTTCACTTGAGGTCAATACTTAAAGACATTCCTCAACAGAGGCCATGAACATCCTGATTGGTGAGTAGTGATGAGGAAATACTTGTAAATGCTGCTTTCTCTTCCTCTGCTGATCAACTCCAGAAACAGCACAGAGACTCTTAAAGAAGCTTGGATTTTCTCTTAACTGATAGCACTGCATAGTTCATTTTAACTCATCTGGACCTTTTTTAAGAAGTATATATTATATTTATTATAACTTTACATCTGCTCAAACTGCTAACTGTGCTATGTTGAACTGCTGTAGTCACTTCTGGCTTAGGTTTCACATTACAGGGACTATTCTGAACTCATGCAGTTATTTAGCCTGAGGGGAGGCATGCCCAGTGCTGCAGAACAGAGGAGCTGCTGAGGAGAGACACACGCTTTGTTCTCTCTCTGCCACACACACACTCGCACACACACTGTGCTGGTGGATGTAAGAAGGGATTGTTTTTGATGCCTCTACGGTTTTTGATTCTTCTCCCCTCTCAGTTTTCGCCCTTCACTGCTCCATGGCCACCCTCGCCCGCAGCGCGCCTCTGCAGCCGGAGATGGGCGCACTTGTTGAGGGAGCTCAGTTCCAGGAGATCGTGCTGAGGAGCCGCAGCTTGATAGAAAAGATCCTGCTCTCCATTCCCGACACGCACAAAGAATGCATTCACATCCAGGTTAGATACGTGCTGGTTTTCCATTGTTTCGCTTTGATTTGAATATTGTCAGTGAGATATCTCGGCTGCTGGTGAATAATCAGTGCAGTTCGTTCTGTAAAAGGGCCTTTGGTGTGCACTGTGCCCTGCTGCTAGTCTGACAGGCTGTTTATTGAGTTTATATGGTTCATGGTTTTTATTGGTCATACGTACATAGCTACAGTGTAGTTATGAAGATGAAAATCTTAGGTCACAGGCTCCTCCAACAGTGAAACACAATACAACTGAAAAACTGAAAAAATAGAGCAAGTAAATACAAAAACAAAAATAGTAAAAAAGTGAAATAGTGAAATAAGAGATACAAGTGATTGGAATGTGATATATTAGATAAATAATTTCTAAATTGCAGCCAGATTAATGTGATGGATGTTGTTTCAAAAGTTCAGGTGTGGCTATGCAGTAATAACTGTGCTTTAAATTCAAAAGATATAAAAATTATAAATATTTGATGATTAATTATTGGCTTGGAGGTGCATTCTGCTAAAAGGGACTAGCATTATCCTCTTAATTCTGAGGACCTATTTTCTTCCACGAAGCCTGCCAAAACCTTCACAGTGGTTAATAGCAGTCACAATTTACCTCATTCCTTTACTTCAGTATTAACATTTTATGCCACTTAAACATTATATTTATTTGACATTCAGATACATGAATACTAATAAAATATTAACAATCATATAAATAATAGGAAATGCAAGGACATTTAGAAACGAAGTCAGACACTACATAAAAGGCTATAATGGTCTGAGTATTTCACATGATGTATAATAATTTATAAAAGGTGAATAAAATACTAGAAGTTTCCAATATTTGTCAACATACAGTATATTAATTTAATGACACTGACAGGGGCCATGTTACATAACGGGTGCTTTGGACATTTGTTATGGTTCATTTTTACATTGACGTATTACTACTTTTAGTTAACTAGATTGTCTGAGAACTTCTGTCACTACTGGGTATTTCTCTTGAAGTAAATAGATCTACAAATGCATATCAAGGTAGTGCTTGTTTCTTGTTTCATGCTAAGCTGTGATTTATCCCTAACATCTCCATGATATCTCTCCTTACAGATACTAAAACTTAATTCTTCAGAAAATGCCAATTTTGTGACAATGGCATCCACCATCGGCATCCCGGCTGCTCCTGTACTCAAAGTGGTGTCAGAAAACTTCTCTTTGGTAAGCATCTATCAGAGGAAAAATACAATGAATAACATGTTTTAGATAAACAGAAAATGTGACCTGATTGTTGTTATTTCTTCTCTTTAGGAGACCGGTTTGAGACGCATGTCGGAGGGTCTTCAGCTGCACCGGGCCTTACTGAGCTCCGTCTCTCCTCGGCTGGAACAGAAAGACAGAGTGATCGGGCTACAGGCTGACATCAGAGACCTCGTGGTTCAGATCAATAAGGTAGATTAATATTTTTATTTCACTGTCCCTATGGTTTGTTTAGGTTCTCCCTTTCTGTAATCATGAACAATTTGCACATACTGTACTTAGGATATATATATATATATTTTTTTTTTTTGCAGACATGGCACTTTCAGCACATTATATAAAGTACAGGACAATTTGTCTGTTAAAGGAAAGACAAATACCCATCCCCTATCCCCACCCCATTACTGTAGGTCATGGTCACAGAAAAAACTAGAATAATACAAATACATACAATAATACATACAATAATATAAATAACTCGCATCACAAAGTCACAGGTAACAGGAATAGAAAAAAATCACATTGAGTAGAATAGTAAGTAACTAAAAACAAAACAATTAAGACAGGGGAGAACAATAAGGGATACACAGAGTATTGGTCACAGGATATATTTTACAATTTTACAATGTGTATAGTACACTGTTTTAATGTGTCCGTCACTGTCCTCGATGGATATTTTTTATTCTTGTACATTGACTGTAAAAATACTGCTGTGACAAAACAATTTCCCAACTTTGGATAAATAAAGTATATATCTATCTATCATCTACACATAACTCTTTAGAAATGACCCTTACCTTAGCCACTTTCATGATGTTCCTTATTGTACCTTGCAGATGCTGAAAATAGCCCAAGCCGAGGCTGTGGTGCAGCCCTCTCCGACCCCCGTGGCCTTGCGTCTCCCGGGGGAATATGAGGTCCAGGTGGCGGCTCACCTGACCCTGGTCCAGCTGCAGGCCTTCGGGCAGGACACGGCGCGCTGCCTTAGGGGTCTGGACCGGAGCAATGACGAGGAAACGCAAAGCTGACCAACATTTTTACTCTAATTGCATTTGGTTTTTGTCCAAATCATACCTTTTATCTGTCATTTTTTACCATGGTTAATATGTATTTATGTTAAATGATTATGTATTTATTTTTTGAATCTATTTATATATATTTATTCACTGAATGTGGAATATTTATTTAGGGAATTAATTTATGATAACAGTGTGTCCTGTTTTATTACGTAGCATTGACTGTAAATTAAATCTTCTTTAATTTAGTCTGAAAATAATTTAAATGGTTCAAATTTATAAAGCGAGGTTCAATAATAATAATGAAAAGCAGAACAGAACATTTACAGATAGTTTTTTACTTTGTAATAACTAATGTATGTAATATATGTAAATTATATTTGAATGAAACAATTTTTTTTACAAATCTTATTTTTTTTAAAGAATGGTTCTGAATTTTTGTATTTCTGATAAATAAAAAGACATTTCCTTAAACTGTTATTGTTCCTTTTTATCAATGACAAGCATTATGACACATGCTTTGTCAATGTAATCACATCCACAATTCCAATGGAGCTCAGACAGTAATAGAGAAATGCAACTAAAAGTGAAATAGAGGCTTCCGGGTCATTTTTTCTGCCACCGTGTTGAGGAAGTGTTGCAACAGGCGGATGACTGCCTGGTGACCATGAGCTCAGGAGGGTGGTGCAGACTTTTGTACGTGTCATGTGGTCACAGCCTCTGCCAACATGTGACCATCATCACCCACACCACCTCATGGTATTTTAATACCAAATCTGACGAAAACAAAATAAGATCTTAAAAGGTCCCCTATTGTACTGTTTTTCATCAATATATTATGGGTCTCAGATATATACAAAACATGTCTCTGAAGTGTTTGGCTCCAAACACCAAACAGATCATTGCAGCATCCCATAATCCCCTCTGTTTCAGCCCTGTTTCCAAAGTGCTGATTCTCTGTCTGTTACTTTAGATGAAAATAAGGAGCCCCTCCCCACGCCCCTCTGAGAGATATTTGGTTACAAAGAACACAATGGTGCTCTCGGAGGAGATTCAGGTGATAAGGTGGGGGGGGGGGTTACCTTGGTTGGTGATTGGCTAATGGTTACACAAGCCAAAAAATCGTTATGACATCATAAAGTGGCCAAAATCTGATCAGCTCATTTTCAGACAGGTTTTTATTAGGGCTGTCAGTCGATTAAAATATTTAATCGCGATTAATCGCATGATTGTCTATAGTTAATCGCGATTAATCGCAAATTAATCGCACATTTTTTATCTGTTCTAAATGTACCTTAGAGGGATATCTTTCAAGTTTTTAATACTCTTATCAACATATGAGTGGACAAATATGCTTTATATGTTTGTTTATTATCATTTGAACAATGACGAATATTAAACACAACAACCTCTGAACATTACAAATATTCGCTTCAAATCAACCTGGAACCTCTCATACAATAATAGTGTGTGTGTGTGTGTGTGTGTGTGTGTTGGAGCTATGTGCAGCTCAAGGCATATATGCTCCAACGGGAGCTGCCTGGATGCTGCAATCATGTTGCGTGTGCTGACTTTTCGTACAATGTCCCACTGTCTGGCTACCTGCATAAAGTCAAGTGCTCGGCGCAGTTGTCGGCGAAATGTCATTGAAACAGCTTCTTATATCCGTTAGCGCAGCTAGCTAGCACCAGATGCTAACAACAACACGTAAGGTGTGCCTCACTCGCGCGAGTCGCGCCACACATACACACTCCCTCCCGGTCCTCCCGATGGCCAGTCCGGGCCTGCCAGTGAGCGTGGAAGTGTGGTCTGCCACAAGCGGGCGGTAGGAGCGGGGCTGTCAGCAGGAGCGGGGCTGTCAGCATCAGCTTGTCGATGGTATTTTAAACTCGATGCGCTCTGAAACTACGGCGGCCGAGGACAAAAAATACACATGCGTTAATCGCGTTAAAATAATTAGTGGCGTTAATTTTTTTTTGCGTTAACGCGTTATTAACGCGTTAACTTGACAGCCCTAGTTTTTATATAAATGGATCAGGACAAAAAGTGAGAGAATCTTTTTTCCTGAAACTTTCAGAATCTCTTTACACAGAGGGGACACATGTTGATGTAGAAAAGACATGAAAAAGTGGATTTTGCATAATAGGTGACCTTTAACGATGTAAAAAGGAGTATGGCAAGCAGAAACAGACTATCTTCAGTGTTTTTTTTTTATTTTAAAATATATTTACACATTTCTTTAAGTGTGAAAAAGACATAAACAAGGTATTTTCCAACAAAAATTCCTCAAAATGGAGGATCCAGAGCTACTCGCATCAAAAGATGAAATATTAAAGAGTCTTTTTTGTTTTTTCTACCGTTGGTTGTACTTCACCAACAAGGCCAATGCTTTGATTTGGTCCTGAGGTTAATTGAAACCCACAGTTTACAGGGCAGAGATGGCTTTGGCAGCGACTCTCCTCCCCAGCGGCAGGGTCAGGTCGGTGATGGCCAGCACGACTCTAGGTTTGGCCAGAGCTTGCAGCTTCACCAGCTCCGAAACCTGGATGCACAGAGAGACATATACAGATTTGATCAAGCTATAGTGTGTCTGAAGTAAGATTTCACTGGCTCTAATGTTGCACAAGGCAAGCTTTGACCATTGATCTGTACACCTAAAAATACACATTTTCCATCTTACTAAATGCGTAGCGTTATTTATCCATCTATATTCTGTAGAGAGTTTATCTAAAAGATCGCTAAGAACATCTCTACAGTAACAATGAAACAGTAAAGAAGTTACTGGGAGTTATGGGATTTGAAATAAAGGAGCAATATGTCCCTGATCTATATACATTAACAGAGGTATGTAAAGCAACAATGGAGTACATTAACATAGTTATGGATATTCCAGCAAGTTTTAAATCAAAGAAAATCATTATAATATTTTGGTTAGGAATCCAAGCAACCTTTTCTGTTGTCAGTGTAACTGGGTGTCAGCTGATGATTAGACGTTTGTCAACTCTATAAATCTATATATATAATTCTTTAGCTGAGAAATCTATTCATTTGTAGGCGAGGAGAAGAAGTATTTTTTCCGTTATGAATATCTCATGAACCACATCTACCCATTCCTCTATTGCGGGGGAGTGAGAATGTTTCATACTGTTGACATCAGCTGTCTCTTGCATAAAACAAAACTAGATGGCATTCACATGGTGATCAAAGAGATAAAAAAATACATTTGAAAAACTAGTCAGCAATTTCTCTTTCTAGAAATCATGACCCGGTGAGTCAAGATGATCCAAATACATTATTGTAAGCAGTTTCAAGCAGGAACTCATTTATTTCTACCCACACATACCAAAGAAAAAGCACCAGCCTCTTGTCCGTAAGTAAACACACGCTTTTTCTACTGCAGGGAAATATGGTTTGTGGGTGTAGTTTGTTAGAAGGAAAATAGTTCCCACGTGAAACTGCTCACAACAAGATCTGTGGATTATCTTAAGTAACTGGTTATGATTTGGAAAGACAGGCACTCGGCACCACAAGCCAAAGGTCATTTAGTTATATTATATTCAAAAGAAAGCAGACATCTCTACGGCCGACATCTCAACAGTCTGCAAACCAAAACAGCAATGCAAAGAAGAGAGGAGAGACAATATGTATATTGAAATTAGCAGTGACGTGTCCCTTCGACTTGTTCCAAACACACACATTGATCAAATTCGGAGCATGGCCCTTGGAGACACACTTTTTTATGAAGAAAGACCAAACCCTTTCCCAGTAATGTGTGATGTAACCTTCCCCTCCTTATCTCTATCTGTCTCCAGCTCCCACCCCGGTTTCTCTTCCCTCCCAGCCGGACGGTAACTCACCATCGTGAAGGGCATGAACTGCAGGATGCTCCCCCGGCTCCCCTGCTCCAGGCACTCAACACACTCCTCCATAAAACTCTGCACAAACTGGGTGTGAGGTCCGGCCATCTTGGAGCCCAGGATGGAGGAAATGAGGAGGAACAGGTTGGCTGAGGAGAAGAGAGAAGGTGGTTTGAATTATTGTACTGTCTTTGTTAGCATTAGCATTAGAATGAGCATTGACTGTTCTTTCCTGACATCTTCAAGTCATCATTAGAAACTCACCTGTTCACCATGGCCTTTGACCCCTAACCCATCACAGTCCCCCTGCTTCCACTCCTACTGCTATTTATTTAATTGCGTTTGTTTGTTTACCATGTAAAGCGGCCTTGGGTCCCTTTAAAAGGCGCTATACAAATGTAATCTATTATAATTATTATTATTATTTGCTGGGTCCACACACAAACACACATTGCCACATAAACAAACATAAAAAACCCAACAGATCATCTTATGTAAAAGTTATTTAGATATGGAAGTAAAAAACCAAAGATATCATCCTTTTGACCAAATTGAAGACCAAATTGAAGAGGACAGGCATGAATTGAATACAAAACGGAACACATTATGGGCTATGAAACTATTTAAAGACTGGTTGATTGAAAAAAAAGAACCAACAGAGTTTGACAGCTATGGAGCAGAAACCCTGAACACGCAGCTGCGGTCCTTTTATGCAACGGTCCAGACCTCAAACGGCAAAACCTATTCAGTTGCCAGTTACTTGGGCATTAGGGCAGGGATATCAAGAACCTTTCCAAGGTTTGACAGGCTGGTCTTGGATCAAAAGAGATCATGTCTGTGACTGGGCACAGGTGCGAGAGCAGCCTGAAGAGTTACTGGGCTCAAACAATAACCGAAAGGGAGAAATGGAGCAACATCCTGTCCTCCAACCCAGGAAATAGCAGCACATCGGGTCAGAGCCTTTCCATGTTGTCTGTCCTTACACACACATTAGCAGTAGCGATACAGCTGTGGCAATATTGTTTCCCGTTTTTTTTACATGTTGGGAATTGTGCTTTCAGATGTGTCATCTGCGAAACCCCCGCAAGGAGAGAGGATCGAGGACAGAAACGTTGATCTCAATATCCCTAAAGATTTCCCATTCACCATGTCACATTGTACTATTAATGGAAACGTTCAGGTTAATGTTAATTACAGCTAAGGCTCAAATGCTAACATGCACAGAGTTAGTTGATATCGAAGCAGTTCCTGCCGTTGCAACAGCCTAGTTCAAACATCAACAATGGACTATTTTTCGTAGCGGATGAATGTCATTTTAAATCAGTTACAACTATGTTTTTAATCATTAAAAACATTTTCTAAAACAATAAAAGCATTTCAATTAATATTGGGAGTCATATCGTTACTTTGTTGAGAATGTGGCCATGTAATAAGCGGGATAATGTGCAGCGACGCGGTCATTATGGGTAAAAGAACACCGACAGGCAGATCAGGAGCCCGACGCGAAGCGGAGGGATCTAGATCGGCATCCTTAAAAGGGGCCCTATTATGCTATTTTTCAGATTCAT